AAAAATTCTAAAACACGTATTTATTTAATTTTGTTGAAGAGCATTAATGCCAAGTTTCAAGTAATTCTGATCATAAATATTTTTTGCATTGTATTATAACGTGTTTCCCAGTGGGAATTAGATAATCTACCGCGGTAATAAGTAACCTATGACACTCTCCAGCCCTCCAACTATCTCCACACAAAAAATCACGTCAATCCGTCTCTCCGTTTCGACGTGAAAGAAGGACAAGCAAACAATGAAACAAACAAACACACTTTCACATTTATAATGTTAGTAGGTCGTTCATTAATAATATAATCATTAAAAATTGAAAATACATAACTGTCTGTTAAAGTAAATTCAGCATTTAGTTTAATACATACAAACAGCTAAATGTACTAGAAGATAGATCATTTAAATTATATCATCGACGTAAACTACAGTTTACAGAAACATCAGAGAGGACACATTTTATGACGGCCATCTGCGACATATTGATCTAAATCCATAATAAAACGTGTTTACGTGGCAATGATATGACTGTTAATGACTGGAAGTCAATTTCTGTAATTTATTAAGATAATTGAGGATTTATATAAAAACCACATTTTGCTTAAACATCTTATCATACCAATTAATATTTTTAGCTCATGAATTAAAAACCGACCAAATTAATTGTTAGTTTTAAAAATCAAAACAAAATGCTCTTGACCAATTTGACGAGATTTTGTATTAATAAAATCATAACAATGGATGAACCGAAACAGATATGTAGAGATTGTAGCGCTTCGCACTTTGTTCTCTTTGCTTACCCCGCAATGGATAAACTGTGATTTTATATTGTTGAAAACACGAAGTTTTGCGATTGATAAACAAGTCTTTGTCTTCCTCCCCGTTCATTAAAATAATGGGGCTGCTCTTCAAGGCAATCCGGTATCAAATAAGCAGAAATCAGAAACAGCTTAGCATAGTAGGGTACACCTGCTGACGCCCATGGAAGCATGCCACCACCCAGTGTTTTTGGCAAGGTGGGCATATACCTATCTGATGCCGATAGGCGCGTTACAAGTGGGTTGGCTTCACGCCCAATTGAATTGTCGGAAGCTACTGAGCTCACAACTACAAGGTGCAATATTTAGGAGGAATTGAAACTTCCCCTAATTATTATTTATTTCTTGTTATTTGTAAAGAAATCCACAGTAATAAACACACTGACAGATGATCGAACAGCGTTCTTATCGGCTTCCGTCGGGGACACTACTCTAAAAGTAGCATTTCATTTAAAATAGCATAAATTAACAATTTCATAGCTGAAAACATGAAAATTAAATGAATTACATTATATTTAACATTAAATTAACAAAATCCTGTAATTAATTGGGTGTTATTCCGTTAGCAGGTAATTGTGGCAAACACAATCACTTGCCGATTCAACCACAAAGCGGCATGTTATCCTATGATCCCTATAATTGCAAATAGTACCTACTCAAGAGCCTGTTTATATTATTACCTACCGGATGACATTGTGATACATCATATAAATATCTCGTGTCATGGTGTTTGTGGTCGCACTCCTCCGAAACAGCTCGCCTGTTAATATTGATTTTTTTTTGTATGTTTAGTAGGTATAAGATTAGTTCGTAAAGTACTTTATACCCTCTTACCCCTACCCCCCATTTTTTAATCGCAAAAAGTTTTTTTCGTAGATTGAACGCTGGCGTAGCCGCGGGTTCTGCTAGTAAGTGTATAGAAAATCGGACATTATAAATATTTTTTGCAATACTAAATTTATTTTTTGTATTAACATACTAATAGTTACGTTACGTTAAAAGCAAAATTAAATATTTACCGATCGACAATATACATTTTATTGACTGCATAATATGTAAACAAGTTTGTATGGCATAGGTATATTATTTGTGCTTATATTGTTTTTATATAGGTACTGTTTGTATATTACTATGAATAACAAAGTTAATTTTGCGGCCGAATATATGACATGAAAAATATCTTATATTTTAAAAACTACTCAAGTCTCAACGTACCTACCTACGTAGTTGTTTAAAATAATTTTCGTTTTAAAATTATTTTATAAGCTCATATTTTCAATATTTTTCAGAATTTTCCGACCCATCCAATAAAAACTAGAGCGAGGGACACAATGTTTACAACTTTAGAAACTTTATGTATAACTTTAATTCGACCTCGGCACCACACCCAACATAAATAATAATAACTTTAATTTTTATATTGGCTTGAACAAAAAGGTCGCATATAAACATTCATTTAAATTTTAAATACCTATGCTATCCAGAGTTATATGTAATTGTATTTCTTTATTTTTTGTAATTTAAGTGGCTACACAATATTTACTTACATATGTTTCACAATATTTACATTTCAATATTCACAATATTTACTTAAATGAGTTTCTTTCGCCAGTTCTTCTCAGGTCTGAGGCTTCTTCTTTCCGAACTGGTAGTAGACTCATGACGTTCAGTAAAAAAATGTAATAATTTAATGCTGAATAAAATATTTTGATTTGATTTGATTTCAATATATGGGCCACTACCGGCTCACCCTCGCTTAGCTCGGATTCGTCCCTAGGTGATTCTACAAATTGACATAACTTTTTTATTTATGAACCGTTAGAAATAAAACATACTAAATGTTAAGTGAAGGCTTACCACAATACATAAGTGAAACAAACCGCACCAAAATCGATTAAGCCGTTTCTGAGGTTGGCGCGCAGAAACGCATAGAAAAACAGACAAAAATTCTAAAGATAATTGTTATAGTCTCTATTACATTAATTTAATAATGAAGATCCCAATTTTCTTAAATATCTTCCATGTACTGACATCAATGAGTTACAATTTTATTATATGTATAGATATAGAAGAAGATAAGAGAATTGTGTAAACTATCTACTAAATTTCAGCAATGTAGCTCAGACAGACGGACATGGTGAAATTATAACGGTTCCGCTTAGCTTTTTGGCTACGTAACCCTTTTTTTTTTAACGTTGGGAAATGCATTTACGCACGACGTGTGGGACTCACCGGCGTAATACAGCCAGTACTACCCACTAAAACCCAACAAAACCTTCCCCCGTCTTAATGGGGCGTCGCAGGATCGCTTACGCATTCAACTACGACGCCCCGACGGCAGGTCCGCCGAAGCAGACCACCACAACCATGGGGTTGCTCCACAGTCCACTCTGCTATCAGAGAAGTACCAGGAGCAACCCGCATGGAACACCGGCCCCCGAAGAGGGCCACCTCCCAACGCCCACCGAAGTGGGCAAACTCCCTGTGCGTTTCTTGGCTTCGCGCCCGGTTGGATTGCCGGGCACTACTGAGCCCCCCCACCACGACAAGGTGAACGCACGTTGGGGGGGTGGCTACGTAACCCTAATAAAAAAGCCGGACAAGTGCGGAAACCGAAGGTTTCATTGCGTTAAATAATATTTATATTGTTTTAACAAATGTATTTAGTTACTTTAATACTTAAAAGAAAACAAAAATATTTACCTATCTAAAATATTAATTTCGTCGACAGCATAAATATTTGTGTGTTATACAGTATATTTTGCAAGAGAAAGAAATTTAATTTTAAATTATGAAGACACGCGTTTAAAAATCCACACGTCCACACGTCTATTTCTTTAACATGTCTTAGTTAGGGCCCACTAGGCCTCTAGGACACACGACAACCTGTTTACACGCCGTTGATGCTCATATTCAATCTTAAACTTAAAATGGCTGCATTCGACGTTTCATACGATTGCCGACAACACGAGTATCATAAACATAAGCGGTCTCCGCATATTCTGCGTTGATGAAAAAAAAAACCAGATTCCTTGCATTCGTATTGATACATACGAAAGCGCGTTCGTTGTTCGTCAGAAAGGCGTCGAATGCGGGTCCACAGTCTTTTAAATGTCACCGTGTGCATAGGTCCTTACACGGAAGGTACCTAGTTTTTTCTCTTGCTTGGGCCCTTATATTATGTTTTTGTAATTTGACTAAAAAGTTCTATTTTACGTTAGATAGCCTTTTGGCTTTCAAACCATATTCCAAATGTACTTGTGTGAGTACGTGTGTGTATGTGTGTTGGGTGCGTGGATGTGGGCGCAGGTGCAGGTGCGTCTGCGTGGTGCTTAAAAGTTGTATACAACGTCAACTTCCCAACTCCTAACTGAGAGATATAATTACTAAAAGCCAGTATCCCATCAGTACCAGTTGGTCCTATCCGGCATTCAAATCCAGGACTTCTCAAATTTCAACCAATTATGCTAGCCACTAAACTATGAGCAACAAATTCTATAGGAATGGTAACACGAAAACTCCCAACAAAAAAGGATAAAAACCAATATTTACTAATTGTTACAATGAATTAAGTAAAAATAATTTAAAATAATATTTTTATATAAAAAATATTTTGAGTCATATTTAGTAGGTAATACATTGTATATGACATTTCTAAACGATTCAAAATCAAAGAAATTGACAATGAATTATTGTATTGCCACCTTCTGAATATTACCCAGGTCAATTTTAGTATTATTACAGATTATTATTTACCATAAGTCATAACTCATAGTAGGAAGAGAGTTAATTACATTATTTATAAGAATCAAATTTGACTTCAAACAATAGAAATCATATAATGCTTTGAATTTCTTATATTTATTTCTTGATAAGAAAATTAATTTTCTCAACTTTTCGAGTCTTAGCATTTTATGGATAAGAAAATTTGTAATAAAAGAAATTTTAATCTATTTACTTTTTCTAAGGCTATAAATCAAGTACTAAAGTTATATTATAGGGAAACAAATAGTTCGTATCTGGCACACCTAAAATAGTTATTAAAACTTAATGTTGTTTTGCCACTTGCCAGTGACATTGACATTTGACAGTATTTAAGTTTGTCACAGTTTCGCGAAATTTTATTTTCGTATTCAAAAAAACATATTATATACGTATTATTCGAATATAAAGCCTCTAAATCTTATAATGAAACGTGTTTTTGTATACAGAAACAAATTAGAAGAGGATGGAAAACTTATGGCCGTGGAAGACACGATTAAAGACTTCAAGAAGGCAATCACGTCTCAATTTCAGCTTAAACAGGAAAACTTAAAGTGTTTTTCCGCGAATGGGTGTGAAATTAATGACGTAAGGGTAATAAGAGACAATGAAAAAATTTATTTATCTTATGAATATGATAAAACGAGTAAAAATTGTGATACTTTAGCAAAATCGACTGAGAACTTAAATGTTTCTGAAGACAAAGACAGGATAGTTTCTGACTGGATAAGGCTTAATGTAGGAGGCAAACTCTTTGTAACTTCTCGATCAACGCTGCTAGCTAAAGAGCCTTTGTCTATGCTTGCCCGAATGTTTGCAAATGATAACAATATGTACTTAATGAATCCTAGTGCAACTGATGATACTGGGGCTTATTTAATTGATCGAAGCCCAGAATACTTTGAACCAATTTTAAATTATTTAAGACATGGAAATGTTATTTTAGATAAAAATATAAATCCAAAGGGTGTTTTGGAAGAAGCTGTGTTTTATGGTAAGAGAAGAAGTAAAGTACTTTTTATATTTTGGAGGAAAATATTTCAATTAGAACAACTTAGGCACAGAGTTCAAACATAGCTTATATTACTCTCTGTCCATCTTGCACAATCTTAATTATTTTAATGAATATTAATATAATTTTATTAGTTGTTATTACAGCTTGAAATAGTGACCATGTTCTATGTTTGGTGGATTCTTTCTGGCAGAGAAACTTATTTTAATTCCTTGCCTTGGTTGAAGGATACTACTGGGCTTATTGCTTACATACATGAGGAGATTATTGCTAAAACTCTATCATTGAAAAAAATAATGTGAAAATAAAATTCATTACCTTATGCTTATTTCTTTATTAACCTTTTAAGCTAGAGCAGCTACCTATGAAAATTTTTCATCTACATAAGTAATATTATATATGTAAGTTGCTTGTTCTGGCTAATTTAAAAATATTCCAATGCCCAAATATGACTTAGACTTTAAATATATTTTACAAAATAAGAAGGGTATTTTTAATTTTAAATATAAAATTTCATCTATGTTTTGTTAAAAAAATATTATATTACAGGGCTTGATTCAATGATTCCACAGTTAAACCAGTTAATTGAAGAATCTTTAAGTATTAGTAGTAACAATACATCACTAACAAGAATGGATGTAGTTAAATTAATTATTATGACACCCACACAATCTGAGTTGCGATTTCAAGGTGTTAACTTGGCTGGAGCTGATCTAAATAGGTTGGATTTGAGGTATATTAACTTTAAGGTAAAAAATTATATTATATTTAAATATTTAATTAATGTGCATCACTACATAGTATAAAACAAAGTCGCTTTCTCTGTCCCTATATCCCTATGTATGCTTAAATCTTTAAAACTACGCAACGGATTTTGATGCGGTTTTTCTTAATAGATAGAGTGGTTTAAGAGGAAGGTTTTAGTATATAATTTGTTAAGTTTTTGTATACATTGGCTAAAATATAACGATATTTGTTAGAGGTGTCGGAAAAAATAAGATGTCTGGGAGCTTCCAATGAAAACGCTGCCTAAACCCTTTGAGATGTAACAAAATAATGTATGGTGGAATTGTGTATCTTATATAGGTCTACAGAAAAGTCTGCATGACATATGTCTATCTCTTAAGGATAACATACTGTATCCATTTTAATTTAAAATATATCTAGGGACGAACCCGAGCGAAGCGAGGGTGAGTCGCTAGTTATATAATAAAAATAATACTATCAAATTTTTCCCAAAACTCGAATGACATGTTTCATGATAAAAAGGAGTATGGGTGGGTCTCTTCACCTAAAGAAGGCATAAAAATTTTAATTGTTTGAGCTTTAATATTGTATGAGCTATGTGGGGTTGTCATTTTGAAATTGCAAATAACTTTATTCACATTTAATTCTTGCAGATAATTGCTATATAATATGCTTTTTGGGTTGCAAAAAATCAAGGAACGAGACTAAATAATAATATAACTTCAATAGAAAATTGATCTTGACATTTTGCTTAAGAAAACACTAAATATAAATCCAAAGTATTTTTTTAATACATTATTAATAATTACAGTATGCCTGTCTCTCACGATGTAATCTAAGTGGAGCAAATCTATCTCACTGCTGTTTAGAAAGAGCGGACTTATCTCATGCCAATTTAGAAGGGGCTCAGTTGTTAGGTGTAAAAGCCTTATGTGCTAATATGGAAGGTAAAAAAGATAGTTTCTTAAGATTTATAGTTATTCCCTATGTAGTAGATATTAGATACACTATTATAAAGAGAGAAAAAAATGATTTTTTTGTATATTTGTAATAGATAAACTAAAAATCTTTTTTTTTTTATTATAAATTTATAGATAAACTAAAAATCTGCTCAACCGATTTAGATGAAATTTGGTATGAAGATAGCTTGAGACCGTGAGAAGGCACGTCTACGGTTCCTACGGCCACGATTTGAAGCCGGATTCGAAAGTAAGAATAAAAATTTTCGATATCTCGGTAAGTTTCCAAGATATCGATACTAAAAAAAAAACATTTTTTTTTTTTGACGGTATTTGATATATTTTAAAAAAATAAATATATTCTATCTCTGTGCCAAATTTCATCCAGATCCATTCAGCCCTTCGGGCGTGTAATATAACAAACATCCATCCATCCTCACAAACTTGCACATGTAATCTGTGCTCAACTTTGAAGTCATTAAAAAGAAAATTGGAATGATATATATATATATATATATATATATATATATATATATATATATATATATGAGTGAAATGTCTTTTTTTAGGTGCTATTTTAAAGGGATGTAACATGGAAGATCCAGCGGGATCTAGAGCTGTGATGGAAGGAGTTAATTTAAAAGGTATTTTATTTATAATGTATATAATATGATATTATGAATTACATTTTTATAGTTTTTTAAATGTTTTTTTATGGTTTTATAGGAAAATTAAAAAGAATAATTATTATAATATATATACTTTATCATTATAATATTAGGATTTTAGTAATGTCTTTGTAAATCTGTTACTGTTTATTTTTATATGTTTATTATTTTTAGGTGCAAATTTAGAAGGAAGTAATATGGGTGGTGTTAATTTACGTGTGGCAACATTAAAAAATGCCAACCTACAAAATTGTGACCTCAGGGCTGCAGTATTAGCTGGAGCAGATTTGGAGGTGAATAAGTATTAATATTTAATTTTATTATTTATGTATTTACTATTAAATAATCCACCGCAACTAGATGGTGGGTTATAAATTCGTGTGCATAGACCCTTAGATCTACAAATATTACAGTTTTCAGTATTAATCCTACTAATATTATAAATGTGAAAGTTTTTGTGAGGATGTTTGGATGTCTGGATGTATAGACGTATAGATGTTTGTTACTCTTTCATGCAAAAACTACTGAATGGATTTTAAAGAAACTACAATAATATCGTTCAAACATCAGAATAACGCATATGGTACTTTTTATCCCAGAAAAATATCCGGTTCCCATGGGATAGATTTGTTTTTGTATTTCTAAAGGCAAACCCAAGCGAAACGAGGGTGAGCCGCTACTACATAATAATATTTTCACTTATTGTTAGTTTATACTGATATTACTTTATAGCTATTTTGATCGCATATTAAACTGCTAATATTTGATGCTTTACTATCAACACCATTTTTTTACAATATTATTAATTAGTTAATGTTTAATTAGCTTACTTAAATAATTAATTGTATTTTTTCTCAGTGTTGCGATTTATCTGGCAGTGATCTCCATGAAGCAAATTTGAGAGGAGCTAATTTAAAAGACGCAGCATTTGAACTGATGCTGACTCCCTTACATATGTCACAAACTATTCGATAAGTTATTTATTATGCAAAAAATAAAGATATTAGATTTATTTATTATCTGTTTATTTTAATAAATATTCTGTGTTCTATATTAATTATTCAAACAAAGCATTAATGAAAGGATTTGTTATGAATAAAAATTTCTAATCTGATGCATCGCTCTTTTTTCAATAAAATATAGCAGAAATAAAGCTCAGATAAATGAAATGTAGAAACTAAAACGTCCGCAATACAGACGCGATAATCAAGTGTAAATATTTAAAGAATACATATACATATCTTTTTCTGTGATACCCATAATATTTATCTTTTTTTAAATAATTAATCTAATCGAACATTTAGTTGTAAAAAGTTTATTAATTGAATTAATCTCCTACCAAAAATTTTTTTGACAGATTTTGCCTTTTATGTACACTTAGATAAATTCAGTAAACTATAAATTTAGACGATAACGTGGGAAAATTCACTTGTTAATTTTATACTCGTTATATCACGTCTTTACTAAAGTTCAGTAAAGATCGCGTCTATACTGAAGTTCAGCAAAGATCGCGTTTACTTCGAGCAAAATGATGTCATGTAATAGCCCAGTCGGGTTGTCGAAAATATGAGCCTAACCCCGAAGAAATTCTAGGCCAAAATTTAATTTTATCAGTCATTAGGGGGAGTCACTAGAACTGTAAGTTTCTATTAATATTTTAACTAATAATTATAATAAATATTAAAATATGGTTGTATAATAAAACAACATTCCGTGTAAAGGAACGTGTAATATTTATTATGTTTGCATCACTGGGCACTGCGTTCTGCGTTGCGAAGTTGGTTGCATTTGTTTTTTATTCGCGTTCTATTTTTGTGTGTGACGGTTCTGTCAGGTCAGGCTAAAAGGATTTTAATTTACAAAAATTGATGATATTCGGGTAGATTCTCTGTAATTAGATTATTTCCTCCCGATTGCGATACTTCCTACAATGCAGAACGGAGAAGAAACGCCGGCGGCAGGAGAAACTGGTGAGTTTATTATTTGTTGTCGTAAATAATACAACAACAATGGGATGAATAGTTTTCATTATCAATTTTCCGATTAAAAATGATCAAAAATTACGTTTAAGTATTTAAAAATGTTCATTTTTTTATAATTCATAAGTTTTACTAATACCCGCATTTATTATAATGAATATCGGTTGCAATTATCAGCTATAAATTGTAGCTATCGCATTTTAATTATATACGCGGTTCTGATGTATTTTCACTTGTCTATGTTTCGTGTGTATTTACCACTATTTGGGTGTTTCTTCGCTTATAATTATTGGTACTGTTGGTAGCTTAATTGGAGTGTGAAATATGACTCACATTCCTATGCTGCCCACTTATTGTAAAAATGTATCTGATTTATTAACCTGTTGCATTATGTCGGTCTGTTGCATTATCTTGAAACTTCTATTATGTCTTATCTACAAAAAGTAATGATTTATTTAAGATGAACAATTAAATTGTTAATTAGGAGGTAGTTAGAAAATATCTTTTTAACTTGAACTTTCTATAAACCTAATTAGAAATATTTTCAAAGGTGTTCATTTCCTTATTAATATTCTTTTATATACTTTTTATTATGTGGATACCCTCAAATTTTGAAATATATAGATACATAGATGCTCCTTTTATTAATTTCCTTTTTAATCTCTGTTTGCAACACATACAAACAGTTACTCTAAAATTTTCATAAATTATGGTGAAATCAGTTTTTTTGAAGTACAAATAATTTGAATGAATATGTTTATTGACTTTTAGTAGTGATGCCCATGTAATACCAGGCCATGTATGAATGTGACTGCAAAAGAGCATCTATTCTAGTCAAAGATTTAATTTGTGACTCAATAACTGATATGGATGGAGATATGCAAATTCAATGGAATTTTAAAATAAATATAATTTTCCATATCAGTTACTTACTGAAAAAAATTATCTTGCATTTATAAAAAGTGTTTTTGGTGCCATGCCATTTATCAGAAAAGATAATTTATGAATAATTGATTAAAGTTAATTGTGACTATCCAGACTCCATTTTCTAGACCTCAAATCAAATCATAAAATATACTATTAAAAAACCTTCAAGCACTTTTGTCACTTTTACATTTTTTTAATTTAAATTAAAAGTTTAATTTAATTTTTTTTTAATTTAAATTAAAATTGAAAGTTCATAAGTTAACTACCTCTGCGTTTAGGATAATCTATTAGATTTAGTTACAAAAATTAACTTAGCTATTGACTTCTATTACAACAGCTATTATTTTAAAATTTTCAATAATAGTGAACGTCTATGTAAATAAAATTCTTGATTTGAATCTTTGAAATATTAAAATAATTTATTTTATAATGTCTAAAAATAAGGTTTTCATTCATTGAAGGTAAACATTGCAAACTTACCAATGCTATGACATTTATGTATTCAAGTGTTAAAGGTGCCAAGTGGCCTTGAGCTATAGCACAGTCCTCTTGTGAATAAACTTTAAAAAATTTATTAAATATTAGTTATTGTAGGTAGTACTTCATAATATTAATATATTTCTTTCATATTAGGTATTAATTTTTTACACAATTTTATTGAACACATTACTGACTAATTATGAGTATAAAAATGTAATAGTGTATTAATTTTGCAGTCATTCATGCCACTTTGGTTAGAAATTAGTACAATGCAATTATATATCCATTATCTGAGCATTGTTTTTTTTTTTAATTTGCATACAGAAAAGATAATCCACAGAGTATTTAAGTAATTTATTAAAAACTAGCATTGCCCGCGGCTCCGCAGCGTTCAGATGACCACTAACCAAATTCTTAGGTTTTACATATTAGTTGTAGTAGTTGTAGTACTCTTACATTGCAGTTTTTGTATTTTTTTCTTAGAAATGAGACGTTTTCCCGCGGTAAAATTATCCTATATGTTGACCCGGATAACCAGCTATCACCATACCAAATTTCATCAAAATCCCTTCAATGATTTTTCCATGATGCGGTAACAGAGAGACAGACAGACAAAAATTCTAAAAACTATAGATGCAGCCTCTGTATCGATAGTAATGTTTATTTCAATAAGATTTTCCAAAAAATATCTAATGTACAGATTCGGCTTACTTACTATTTTATATATATAAAAATGAATCCTTATTTCTCTAGGTCACGCCATCACGCGTGAACGGCTGGACCGATTTCGATGATCTTTTATTTGTTGAATTTGTCACCGCCCCGAATAGCAGAATAACTATTAAAACATCAGAACAATTCACGAAAAAAAGATATTTAAATTTATATAGCTATCGCTCGCTAAAAACTATTTATATATAGGGGAAGGTGGGGGACACCGGATAGTTAAGAAGAAGACACAATAAATAAATCACTATGTTATTTATTGAGATAATCAATATTATAAATGTTTAAGTATACCTTAGGCATAACTTTGGTATGAAAATGTTTGAGATCAATCTTAATAACTATAAAATAAAACAATTTTTAATTAAAAATTATGAATCCGAATTCACCCCATACCTATGGGTCAAACCGGATAGGTATTTTATATTCTATGGGTGAATACAGATACTAACAATAAAACTAAATATTCAAATTATTCGCAGTTTTTGCATACAAAAAATAATAATTCTTGCTCAGAACAACCGATGCAACTTCGTGAGCCCATTTAAGTCAAGCAGTGCATTGGTACCATTCATTTGTGGACTTAGTTTGACTGTACTTTTCGCCTCAAACCAAAGACTCCGAATCCTCCTGATAGTTTTATTATACGTCTTTTTACCGATTCGAAAATATCTGATTAGGTATCTCTTCTATTCTTAATGAAAAACATCGTTTAGTTATTTTTTACATTTTAGTGCCTGGAAGTCGGTTTTTTTAAGTTTGTATTGTGGTACAGAGGTCAATCCAGTCTCGTCCATGTAATAAATTTGCGTGGGATTCAAAGTATGCTTAGCATAAATGGTATCTAAAACATTAAAAAATGATGACACTACAGCTCTATTAAATCCTTTTGAACTTTTGGGTACACTTTATGTAACGCTAAACGATATCCCATTCTACTTTCTATCACCGAATTTAGGGCTAAAAGCATGTCTGACTCCGACCATTGCAACTTATCTGACTTTTTCACATATGTTCGTGGCATGTTGTCGCTCGCACTCTGTAAAAAATAAATAATAATTAAAAAGAGTAATATAACAAACACCCACAATACCTACATATAAAATCGATCGGGGTGAAACCGGGTAGTCGAAATCATCCCGTCCGCTTGTACCCCACAAGTACCATGTTTGAAATTGTAATAACTAACAGGTTATGTTTACACTCATAGCAACACCCAATACCGTTTTCAAAGATTAAATATGTATTACTTCTTAAAAAATACAACTGTATATAATACACACAGCTAAGTTTAATGATAACACTTTAAAATAAAAAAATATTAGATAACTTACCCTTGTTTTTAAATTTCGTTATAAAGACGCACGCGCCGAGATGATACCGTCACCGCGATTTGCAACCGCACTGAGTAAGCGTTCGCGCGTATTTCTCCACTAGCTAGAATGATACAACTGTACGTGGAGCAATGAAATAGGAACTATCTGTTTTCACCCCCTATCTGGTTTCCCCCCTCATTCCCCTATTTAAAACGTACCTAGGGACGAACCCGAGCGAAGTGAGGGTTAGACGCTAGTTTGAAATAAATTATATATATCTTATCATATATACGTATATATAAAAACAAAGTTTTTAGTTCATAACCCATGGCGTCACATTAACGTTAATACACATTTCAGCTCCAAAACTGCCCGAGGAGATAACGAAGCAATCATTTCGCTTGAAGATATGGCGTCACCTGGAAACCAATGGACTGGCAATGTTCCCACGTCCAGTCTACAATCGTATTCCTAACTTCAAAGGCGCAGCAGAAGCTGCAGCTAAACTCGCGGAACTAGACGTTTTCAAGAATGCCAATACTGTTAAGGTCAACCCAGATAAACCTCAAGAACCTGTGAGGTAGGTGATATGTTTTACTTTACATTGTATATAAAATATCTTTGTTACATATAAGTTTTTGTGTATATAACGATTACATTTTATAATTGAGGTGGAGGTCAGAGTTCGTTTAGGAAAACGTTCTTAATAAAACGCACGCAATATTGTATTGGTTTTTCGATGGTAAACGGCATCTCTACGATATTTACTTCAAGTCAAACTAAAAAGCATTCATTTTTAATTTGCATTCATATTTTTCATATCGGAAAATAAGCAAGATTTTCCTATACCTAGGCCGAATCTATAGTTTTTAGAATTTTTGTCTGTCTGTCTGTTACCGCATCACAGAAAAACCACTGGAGGGATTTTGATGAAATTTGGTATGATGGATAGCTGGTTATCCAGGTCAACATATAGGATACTTTTTACCGCGGGAAAATACATTATTTCTGAGAAAAAATGCAAAAACTGCAATGTAAGAGTATACTAATCTGTAAAACCTAAAAAGGTTTTTTTTGGTCACCCGAACGCGGGCGGAGCCGCGGGCAATGCTAGTATGTAATAACTCTAATGCTTATATTATTTTGAATAAACATTAGGTAAAGAAAAAACATAAAACAGAGTAAAATTTCCGAACCTAGAATAAATGTCGTACGAAATACCAAGTAAATAGTTTATTGCAAGTTCAAGAACGGGTAGATAGATATAATGGAGATATAGTCCACGTAAAATATCCGCGAGAACGCAGTCGTGGATAAAATTATAATTTTATGAGCCATTTTGCTTACTTTGTGTCTATATTGTAAAACTTAATTTAAGAAACAAGCTTTATCGATAGGAATACGATGAAAACAGTCGTGCAGATTTTCACTAGGTTAACGACCTCGTGAAAACATCGCGTTGTGACGTTAACAACTATGAAAGCGGAGTTTTTGTATGTTTATTTAGATTATCTTTAATATTATTTAAAAGTTGTTTTATTTTATAATAATATAGATATTTATGCATATCAGATTTCTGTAGAAATATTATATTGAAAATGTTGATTGGTTTTTAACGTCGTCAAATTACCTCCGTTTCGTAGGAAAATGATCTATTTTGAGTATCTATTATGACTTCATATTACTCATCTATGTATATGTAAATATCTAAACAGATTGCTTCATTTTTAAAACAATTAAGCATTTTAAATAATCAAAATGTGCACCTGATCATTATAAAAAAAATATGTTTTAACTTGAATTCTAAAGGGTAAAACGGTAATCGTAGATAGTACTAGTTTATTCTTCTTGAATAATTAAATAAGAATAAATGAAATTGTCATTAAGTTTTATTCCTTTTAAAATAATCAGATAAAGAGAAGTAAATAACGTGAGGGACAATTATTTTTAGGTCCCATTAACAAAAACAACACGCGTGATGAATATTTGCGTAGTTGCCTCACACTTATATTTTCACTCTCTAGTGCTGACTATAGCCAATGACCAATCCCACGTTTGTCCTATAGTAGACTAATGTCTGCCCCCGTCTGCGTAATTTATATTATATACTAGCATTGCCCGCGGCTCCGCCCGCGTTCAGATGACAAAAAACCAAATTCTTAGGTTTTACATATTAGTATATTCTTACATTGCAGTTTTTGTATTTTTTCTCAGAAATGAGATTTTTTTCCCCGCGGTAAAAAGTATCCTATAGGTATGTTGATCCGGTTAACCAGCTATCACCATACCAAATTTCACCAAAATCCCTCCAGTGGTTTTTCCGTGATGCGGTAACAGACAGACAGAGAAAATTTTTAAAAACTATAGATTCGGCCTCTATAATGTCTATTTCAATAAGATTTTCCAAAAAATATTTAATGTACAGATTCAGCTTAGTTAGAATTTTATTATATATTATATATTTATGTGTAATATAGTGTGATGTTAGATTGCATAAATTTTTTTGAACGTTGGGAAATTGAAAATTCATTTATATATACCACCTGCGTACATACAGGGATTGCTTACGCACTCAACTAAGACGCCCCGACGAAAGGCCTGCCTAAACAGACCACAATAACCTAGGGGTTGCTCCCTTGGTCTACTTTGCTATCAGAAAAGTACCAGGAGCAACCCGCATCGTACGTACACCGTCCACCAAGATGGACCGCCTCTCAGTGTGTGTCTTGGCCTCACACCAGACTGGATTTTTGGGCGTGAAGCCAAAAACCCACCCCGACAGGGTGAACACACGTGTGGTTTTGTCGGTAGATAGCTTACTTACTTCAATAAATAGGATATAAAACGCAAAAATATTTCTTAAATCTCATTGTTAGTTAGGCAGTCCCAGGGAGGTTAATGCGTTTCAACAATACTTTCTTAGAGTTACGCGAATATTTAATATTTTAAGTAAAACTATATTTTGATTTTTGGTTCCCGACGTTTCGAATGCTTTACAGCAATCATGGTTTGGTCAATGGTATCTTCCGTGACCGTTTTATTTAAAGCGTTTCAAGAAACAAAAACAATCTCTTCAGTTTTATTTATACCTTAAAGATGCGGTCTTATTGCATTTGTTACTCCTTTCCAATTATTTTTCAATGTATGTATATTATATCGGATTTCGTGTCGATTGGTTAAATTAGATCGTTCGTCTGATGGTGGGTATACAGACTAGCTCGGCGATTCCATACATGTACATATTACGTTTTATCTACATGTATTAGTCATGCCTTTCAGTGTCTTTCGTAGACCAATCTACCGGACTAAGTAATATTTGAATGGCAGTTTTAGATGTAACAAGTACCATGTGTTGCTTAGTCAGCTGTTCTTTGATGTCCTAATAAAAAGTTCATCGACCTTAAAGCTATTTCGGTTTCGATAGAGTTTATTATGTTTTGGCAAAGCATATGGTATAGGCATTTATGACGGTCAGAGTAGATAAGTATAAATAGATAACTGAGAATATAATATGTTTGTTTGTGAAATACGTTTACGATATTTCCACATAAATATTTTTAATCATTGAACCGACTGAAATCAGCTCTTTTCGTGAAAATTTTTCTTAATTTTCTTTCAACGATTTTACGGTTAATAATGCACGCTTAAGAAAAACGTTAAGAAATTTTCAAATAGGTACATATTATAAAATACTAGTGACTCATCCTCGCTCCGCTCTGGTTCGTCCCTAGTTACGTTTTAACGTTTAGTATACATTTCTCAGAGATGAGATATTTTCTCGCAGTAAAAAGTATCCTATATGTTGACCTGGATAACCAGCAAAATTTTATCAAAATCTGTCCGGCGATTTTCTCGTGATGCTTTACCAGCAAACAAACCAAAATTCTAAAAATTATAGATTCGGCCTTTGTATCGAAAACAATGACTATTTCAATAAGATTTTCCGAAAAATATTTAATGTACAGATTCGACTCGGAATTGTATTATGACGTAGGTATAGATTTATAATCTATAGTTCTCATCCGTGACTTTTTTCTCTTGTTACTACATACTTGTTAGTACTTAATTCTACCTCCAATCCAATCATCAAATCGGTTTCGTTCCGGTTATGCTGTTTTGGAGATTTGCAGACACAAAATATTAAAAAAAATGAGACTATTTTTTTTGGGCATTATCATAGAAATACCCATGTAAGTCTAATAGGGGGTAGTAGTGTTGACATCAGATACCTATATAATATGTAGTCTACATAAAATTTCTAGACATTAGCGTTTTTTCTAAGTTCAGTCATATGATAAAAGAAAGTAAGTTCTAATACTTGTTATATTTAATGTAACGCTTTACGATGACTATAATGATGGTTGCGCAAACTCCAACCGATATTTCAATGCGTTTTATATCCTGTTCACTACAACTGGCTTACTTATATAATACTTACATACTAAATTTATTGATCTATAAACATATTTATGCTTATTTTTGTTGAAAGTATTTCTTATTTCAATTAAATATGAAATAATTGTGTCTAATATTATTTTTCATTTCCGCTTTTCGTCCATATCGCGAAAATGTTTAGACGTTTGTTGGTTTGATTGGTGATTTGCTTGAGCACACCAAATATGTAATATTATTAGTTATTACCTAACTACTTTAGTGTTTTGGCTTTACCAGTCGGCTATAAAGTTTGAATTAAAAGGCGAATTCCGGAACTAATAATCTTATTTTACGAGTCAAGTAGGTACAAGCAAATGGCGCTCCGCGCGCATTGACGGACGGATCTGCTGTCTTGCTATGCTTCCATTACTTGTCTCGTAAAACAGTTCTTTTCAGAACTACTTCTTGTTTCGTACAGACAATAAAATAGCTCTTTTCAGAGCCGATTATCCTTGTTTCTTCGACAGAAACAGTTCTTTTCAGAGCTAACTTTTCTGTGTTTCACAAGACGTCGAGTGTAGCTACATGATAATTAAAATTCTTTTAAAACCAAGCATTATTCTTACAATCATACTGTATTTTATCCTTTTTTTGGTTCTGTAGGACATCGGTCAAAAAGTAATGGAACTAGTAGGTGCTTATGACCTTATCGATGCAACGGCGAGTCTAGTTTTACACTGTCTGTCTGTCTCTATAATCTAAGTATCATATTATTTTACGACATTACATAAAAGTATACAATCTTAAAAGTAATTCTAGTAATCTTAAAGGCAATTTCTAGTTGGGTCAACTTTTTTTCTTTGTAATGCATTTGCATTTTGCACGCGTTTTGGATTTTTAACGTTGAATTAGTCGTATCAGAAAGATTCAAAAGGGGTAATGCGGATGATAATACGAGAAATTGTTGTTAGGTACTTTCTCGTTTTAATTTGCTATTGAGGAGGTTAATTTCAAAGTATTTTTAAACGTGGCATTTTATCAAAAATAAAATAAACAATCGTGAACCATGATGAATTTTATTTTCCAATACTTTTGTAGAAGAATCGCAGAAAATAAAATTTAATTAATAAAGTTTTAAAATATGAAGTATAGTAAGTACCATTGAAATATTATGTAAATAGGTAATTTGTAGATGCAATCTTTTGACCCAGTCAGTAACCGTTGATAACCTGTCGACCGCATGGCTAAATAATGTTTCTCCAAACATGATAGCGACTGTTTGTTTTTCATTAATATTTGCGACCTTGAGAGCTTGAAATACTAAGGATTAAATACGCTTACGAAGTCTTATAGAAAATGCAGTAGAAAATCCATAATATTATAGTGTAATTTCTTTCATTTTGCATTCCTCGCTCGAATGTGTTTATGCATTTTCCTTTACGCTACATACTAATCAATCACTTTAACTGAAAAGAAAATTACTATGACTTCGCTTTATATCTGTACTGAAATATTGGATCATAATTTACAGAATTTTCACCTCGAGTGTAAACCAAACTCTTTTTTTTAACATTGAGAAGTGCATTTACTCACACCATCTGCATGTACGTATATATGTACGTGGTTATGTGGAGACTCACCGGTTAGAAAAGACACTACTACCCTCACGCATCGATTACGGTCTCACACACGTCGCTTCGACAGCTAAGCTAACAAACCATTTTCGCTATACTAGCGACTCACCCTCACTCCGCTTGGGTTCGTCCCTACTTACGTTTTATTTACTTATTTATGTACCATAAAATATATGTTATACAAAATAAAATAACAAAATGTTGACAAAGGATAACTTATCTCTTTAAGAGATTTCTTCCAGAAACCCTTCATATAAACGTTTAGTATAGTTTTCTCAGAGATGAGATATTTTCCTGCAGTAAAAAGTATCCTATACATTGACCCGGATAACCAGCTATCATCATACCAAATTTCATCAAAATCCCTCCAGTGGTTTTTCCGTGATGCGGTAACAGACAGACAGACAAAAATTCTAAAAACTATAGATTCGGCTTCTGTATCGATAATAATCTCTCTATTTCAATAAGATTTTCCAATTAACTATTTAATGTACAGATTCAGCTTAGTTACAATTTTATTATATGTATAGCTTAGTTTATTTACTAGTCAATTTAGTTAGAAAAACAATTTTTTTTATTTCCTGGAACTAGACAATATATACAAATAGAATAACTTCGTCAGACAATATACATAAATATGCATGCATGATATTATTGTAAATGTTCACTCCAATGCATATGGTATTACCTACCTACCCACTCTTCATATATATATATATATATATATATATATATATATATATATATATATATATATATATATATATATTCAGAAAGGTCACATTTTCACAATATATACTAAAAATTAAAATGACAAGGTCTCTAATATTATGTACTATAATTAATGCAACTTTCTCGCTTGGCCTTTTAGCTTTATTTAGCGTTGACTCATTTACAACCCACCCCTCTGCTAATGTAATAAGGTTGATGTTATTGAGATTTGATGTTGGAGCTTTTTTAAAACCGACATTTTTTATGGAACACGTATTTGACAAGTATTTCTGTTATATAACAATACTAGTGACTAACCCACGCTCCGCTCGGGTTCGTCCCTAGTTATATTTTAACGTTTAGTGTAGATTTATCAGAGATAAGATATTTCTCCCGCAGTAAAAATATCCTATATGTTGATCCGGATAACCAGCTATCGTCATACCAAATTTCATCAAAATCTATCCAGTGGTTTTCTCGTGATGCGTTCCCAGACAGACAGACAAACATTCTGAAATCTATAGATTCGGCCTCTGTATCGATATTAATAACTATTTCATAAGATTTTCCAAAAATATCTAATGTACAGATTTCAGTTAGAATTTTATTATATGTATAGATTAAGCAAATAATATTAATCAAAAAGCTTTATCTTTTTTTTTAATTGAGTTTGTTAAATAAGCTCTTACAACATTTATGGCATGCTTCTGGCTAAGGTATACCTACCCGAGGTCTTCTATTGACAAACTTGAATATTAAAATTCACATTTTCAAGTGGGCTTATATGTGACCTACATATTTGCCCTTAACGTCTCATAGATTCAAAGTTAAAACTACGTAGTTCGAAGTATCGAAAGTAGGTTTATTTCAAATACTACAGTTTGGGTAGGTAATTTGCAAATATTTAATGTGATTGAAATATTTATCGTAAAAATATTATAACTTCTATTTTATTTATATGTAAGATACGTAGTAGGTAAATCTACTTATTTTGTCGTTTTACGACGAATTTTTCAGATGATTTTCGTGTTCCTTTACGGTTATTACTTAATTAATAAGTACCTGGGCCACCGAGCTTCGCTCGGAGTTTTTGGTCAAAAGTACAATTTTCTTTAAAAAAAACTAAAACTTGAATAAATACAAAAATAAATTATTCCTTTGCGACCGGGATTCGCACCCGGACACCTATAATTGTCTATCTTGCGCCTTGGCCGCTTGACCATGATGCTTATGTCCGAGCGTGCGCAATTATCGAGTATATTTTGCGTAGAATAATGCGAAAGAAAACCGCATGAAATTTGGAATACACGCGTTTTCCCAGACATAAGACTAATCTAGATCGATTTATCGGCGCCGAAACCCCCTGCATACTAAATTTCATGAAAATCGTTATAGCCGTTTCCGAGATTCAGATTATATATATATATATATATATATATATATATATATATATATATACAAGAATTGCTCGTTTAAAGATATAAGATTAATAAAAAAAACAAATGGTTTGTATAAATGTTTAAAATAATAGCATTGTACGTGTGCAATATTGCGATAAAATATGCATATATTATAGAGTCAAAAAACATTTGCACTACAACAATACGTTGCAGAAACACCGTTTTCCTCTATTTCAGGGTTATCTGCCTAGAAAAGCACAAGACCTTGTACGTGCCTGTGCCGCGTTTACAAAGTGGTTTCTTGAACCGTCTGGTGTTGCCAGAAGGCGAGAGTAGGCCTGGCGCTATTAGGAAGGCGGTCTCACGCAATGGCATGGAGACGTACGGACAGCCCTTGAGTAAGTTATATGAAAATGCATATTATGTTGTTCTGGTATTAGCATTTCTACTAAATCTTTATTTTACAGCCTGTGTTACTCTTATGTATAAGCTATATTACTGTAAAGTTTCAACACAGTCCGTTTAGTAGTTTTTGCGTGAAAGAGTAGCAAACGCACATTCATATACCCTCATAAATATTCACATTTATAATTTAATAGGATTTACCTGATATATTACGATTCTATGCCGATTATATAATTTCTAAAGTTTTAATATATTCAAGGATTTGTATGATGCTGTAATATTTGTTTGAAATGACGCATAAGTTTATAAATGAGTAAGATTTTTTTTCTTATACAGATTTATCATAGATGTTTTGTAATGAATTCTTATTCTTAGCATGACTAAATTGCATTTTATAACCGCTTACCGTACAACTTTGCAAAGAAAACGCAAAAAGATGGCAAATAACAAACATAATATGTAGTAATAAAATGGTATTCATAGTTGATGATATAATTTTATTAATTTTATTGCAAATTAAATATGACCTAGCCCATATTTAAATACAGATAATAATCATATAAAAGTGGTCGAACATATATGTATTTACATAGGTATATGTATAGTTCATATTTTTCTCATGGGATGCTATTAAATTTAAATAGAAGTTGCACCGTTACTTTGGTTTTATTATAATAATTATTATATTTGTATATGTTTGGATTTGAAATACAAGTTGATACACAACACATAAATTACTTTAAATTACATACATATTATAAATATAAACACCCATCATGACTGAAGTACAATTATTCGTACTCATCACACAAATGAATCCCCCAGCGGAATTCGTACTCGAGTAGGGTCACTACAAACTGAGCCAAACGTGTCGTCTAAATCGTTATATTTTATCCATTTGTGTAAAAATATTAAAATTATGTATAAATTTTGCTGTTGTTTATATTATAACAGGTATCGAAGACGCCGTCTCGCTAGATCTCGTTGTGATGGGATCTGTAGCCGTGTCGAAGGAAGGATATCGTATTGGCAAGGGAAAAGGTGATTTCCTTTGTTTTCACATAATGTTGTAAATTTGTATTATCGTAGTGTGCGATGAAATTGTACCTCATATACTAGCTTTTGTCTCGGAGTGCAAACTACGTATATTTGAATTTATTTAATCTGCATATTATATATATATATTTGTCTGATGAATAAGAAAAATGTCATCAATATATCTATTTTTATAAACTTAGAAATAAACTTAAAGCTTAATGTAAACTTTATTATTAATTTGTTATTTACAGGCTATGGAGACTTGGAATTTGGTCTGATGATGCACATGAAAGCGATCAAACCGGACACTTTGGTGGTAACCACAGTACACGATTGTCAGGTAATCTATTATTATAAAGAGGTAAAGTTTGTGAGGTTGTAGGGGGTAATCTCTGGATCTACTGAACCGATTTAGATGAAATTTGCTAAGAAGCTAGTTTAAGACCCTGGGAAAAACATAGGATAGTTTTTATCTCGGAAATCATCCCTTAAGGGGGTGAGAATGGGGATGAAAGTTTGTATAGGAAAGCAAAGCTAGGGAACGAACCCGAGCGAAGCGAGGGTGAGACGCTAGTTTAATTATATTTTTATTGTTTGTTGGTCGAATATCCTCATATTCAGTTAATCAGATTTTTTTTAAATAAAATTACATAGACACATACATTAACATTACATGTTATTTGAGGAAATAATGTACCTAAACGCGTTTTTCAGTGCAAATGATTTTTTATATAAAATGCATTTATTTAAAGAACACCATACCATTTAAATGTATGTATATATTATTATAACCCTTGTAATACTAACTGTAAAATATATTTTTGTACTAATGGGTTAAAATTGAAATGTATTATATACTTTAGTGTTACGTTATTATAATTTATGATCAAGTTTGTATGCGACTGTTCTCTTGTCAATAATTTATATTTGATTACTTTTTATAATTTCAGGTGTTCGACACTTTGCCGGCAGAGCTATTTGGACCACACGATGTGCCCATTGACATCATTGTCACACCAACACAGGTATTTACACTAGTTTATAAGTAACTACCTAAATTCTACCTCCAAGCTAAGAAAACTAAACAAATATTTTTTTTCGCTCTATCCTAATATATATAAATCAAACACATAACCCTCCTTTGGGCTTTCGTAGTCGGGTAACAAAAAGTGTTTATTATATACTAGCGACTCACCCTCGCTTCGCTGGTGTTCGTCCCTAGGTAGATTTTATTTTTTTAAGCGAAACCCTAATTCTTTTTCTAAAATAAAAGTAGCCTATGTTACTCCCTATAACATCAACTATCTTCCAGTGAAAGTCCCGTCAAAATCAGTCCAGCCGTTTCAGTGATTATCCCGAACAAACAGACAGACAAAAAAAATTAAAATTGTATTTTTCTTATAAGTACCGTATATAATTTTTATATGCATTTAGTAGAATGCTGTTATTTGGACATTACAAACAGACACTTCAATTTTATTTATCTGTATATATTATCCTTATCCTTTTATCCCCACAGGTGATAGAAACCCAGCGCATGAGCCAGCGGCCGGCGGGCATACTCTGGCACCTGCTGTCCAACCGCCGCGTGCAGCTCATGCCGGTGCTCGGACAGCTGCGAGATATTGAGATGCTGTGAGTGATGATTTTTTATATTTATACTAATATTTATAAAGAGGTAAGATTTCATTGTTTGTTTGGATTGAATAGGCTCCGAGACCACTGAACCGATTTAGATGAAATTTGGTAAGAAGATAGTTTGAGACCCTGGAAAGGACATAGGATACTTTTCATCTCGGAAATCATTCCTTAAGGGGGTAAAAATGGGGATGAAAGTTTGTATGGGGAATCAAGCTAGTATTACAATTTTATATCACCTATACTCACGTGTATTTTATTCCAGAGCGGGTCGTGCCTGTACACTGAAGGAGGTGGATACCGACGTTGAAGAGAGGGGTCTCGGACGCGCTCGCCGGCAGCGCAGGCGCACACGCTCCCATAAGAGCCAAAGTGAAGGCGAGGTGAGATAGTATAGAATCTAGATATTTTAACTGTACTTATAATCTATCTTATATTGCAGTGGTAGCCCAGTGGTAACGCACTTGCTTGGAAAACTCATCTCAGCATCAGAGGTGCGAGACCCGGGATTTGAACTCGCTTCACTCGGTTTCCCAAGCGAGCGCGTTACCACTGGGATACCACTGCCTTGTGTATGTATATATATAACGAAAGTCTACAGGTTCCTTTTGACCCTAAAAATGCTATTTATAATTGGTGAAATTAATGTATATATGTACTTTCATTAGGGTAACACGACAGAGGGCGAGGATGGTAAACCTAAATCGCGTCGTGCGCCGCGCCGCCGCAACAGCAACAAGTCGGTCAGCAAGGACAAGGAGGGCAAAGAGGATAAGCCCCGCCGGCCGAGACGTCCTAAACCTGTCATTGATTTCTCTGTTAAGGTAGGATAATGTAAATGGACCGCTTTTGGTATTTAATTTGTAAAATTGTGGCTATGATAGACATTTTGACATCTTCACAAAAAAAAACAAAAGTGTAAACTTTGTATCTGACCGGGATTCGGACCCGCTTGAGCCCGATGCTGATGTTCGAGTGTGCGAAATATTTTGTGTGGAATAATGCGATAGAAACCCGCATGAAAACTCGAAAACACGCGTTTTCCCAGACATAAGACTACTAATCGAGATCGATTTTTCGTCCCCGAAAACCCCCACATACCAAATTTCTGCGAAATCGTTAGAGCCGTTTCCGAGATCGCCGGTATAAATAAATAAATAAGAATTGCCCTTTTAAATATATTAGATAGATAGATATGGAACTTTAATTTTCGTTTTTTGTAAAGCTTGTATTAAATGATATCAAAATTATGCATATTATATATCAAAACATATTCTTATTATTATTTTCCGTTCTCTTAATAAATTATGCATAGCTCTATTGTTCCATGGAGACTACTATTTCAACTTCAATTATGAATATTAGCCGGAGACTTACATAGTATAATTTTTATCTCACAATAAAATGGTCCTCTTCACTACATAGTATAAAACAAAGTTGTTTCCCGTTGTCTGTCTGTACCTATGTATGCTTAGATCTTTAAAACTACGCAACGGATTTTGATGCGGTTTTTTTTAATAGGTAGGAATGATTCAAGAGGAAGGTTTATATATAATACATTCATAATATCCTCCTGAGACACAGACTCAAGACAGGAGTATAATATAGTACAGAATAACCGAGAAATTCAAAGATTTGTATTTCATATTTACTGTTAAAACGTACCTAGGGACAAACCTGAGTGAAGTGAGGGTGAGTGTCTCCCTAGTGCCATATAAAGTATAGCAGCTGAACAAAGCAAGGGTGTGTAGTTATAGATAGTTTTTGTTTACATTTTTAGATTTCAAACATCAGTCCCAGCACTCGAGTGAGGGACTTGAAGCAGGCTCTGAGCGAGCGCGGTGTGAAGCCACAGGTTATGGTGTGGAAGGTAATATTGTCAATCGGTTATGATATACAAAAATTAATTAAATTTTTACTACTAGTACCTAAATAATATTATTACTTTTTTATTTATAGAATATAGTTTTGTTCATAAATATAAGAGACGTGATTGGCTAATAATCTGATTGATAAATGTTATTCTATATAAACTTTTCTTTTTCTTTACATACATATAATTTAGGCAAAAAAATAATTATTGTCATTTGGCAATTTTAAAAACTTTGAGCAAATAATTGCATTACAATTATACATTTTAATTTTTAAGACAATATAATATAAAAACAGACATCGTGTTTTTTTAAACATGTGTTGATATTTATTATTATATTTTTAGGGATTCCGCGGATTCTGTTATTTACATTTCTTCAAACCTGGACCACAAAAGGTAAATAATTTTATTTTTTTAATATACATATGTGTTTTGCCTTGGTTTAAAAAAACGGGTTCTTTGCCATTTCTTCTCATTAGTGATGCTTGAATTAATGAAGTTCAGTAAAAAGTATAATAATATAATTTCAATTCTAATATTAACTTGAATTATTGATATGTCTGTACTCTGTATGCCATATACAACTATGGATATTTATAATAATCCCTATATGTAAGTGAGAATGGGCATATGAGTTTTTTAAATGCAATAGCTAACATCGTTATATAATTGTAAAAAAAACTAGCTCCAAAAAACTAAAATTTAGTATAAAAAAATAATATTAAAAATATCATACCGATACGGATACTTTAAACGCCCGCCTTTTCGCGCGCTTAGCGTGACGTCACAATATCATATATTTATAGTTTATAGTTGTTATAATACTTTGACGTCATATTCGGTCTGACCAATGGCGTGCGTTTCAACTACTTTGAATTTCCCACCTATATTTGTGCTTTTAAATAATTATTTTCGGAATCAAAAAGGTATTACATTAAAAAAATATTGACACATGTATGCTTCAATTCAAAAGCAATAAAGATTATAAAAAAAAAAACACCTTTATTTAAATCTCACAGCCCCTTTATTTAAATCTCACAATCCCTATTAGTAAAAAATTACGGTAGGAATCAAGAAAATGCTAACTGCTAAAATACAATAATTATATTATTAATTAACAATCCAGGGTGAAGGCGACATCCCAGCGGCTAGTATGGAGAGCGTGCTCGCAGCGCTAGCGCAGATGTCGGTGGGCGGGTCGGGCGCGGGCGACGAGGCGCGCGACGCCAAGCCGCGCCTGCTGCTGGTGGAGCCCGCGCCCCCGCGCGCCGCGCCCACCCCCGCTCCCGCCACACCTACCGACCTCGCGCCCACCGAGGACGCGACTCCGCCCGCGCAAGAGGTACATCTCTATATATAGTCACGACCTAGCAGCTTGCGTGAAGGTGTGCGTCTTGCTGGTGAATTTCATTTCAGGTGGCAAAAACACGACTGCGCCCGCGCTTAGATACTCCTTTAAATATGTATATATCCATGACTTCCCAGCAGCTAGCATTAAGGTGTCTGCCGACTATCAGAACAAACATTGAGTTTTATATGAGTATTTATAAAGTCCTTATAAATGATATATGAATACAAACGTATAAATAAATATAAATTAACATTATAACATTCATTTCCAGGTGAACTAACTCCAGCAGTAGACAAATAATGTTCCGGTTCCAACAAATAACCAACAACACGCATAAAACGCTTCAACGCACGGGACGGGACGCATTCCGATACTAATTGTTAGCTTTAAGATTGTTTTCTCTTTACACTGGCCAAGGGCGGTCTGTCGCTGTGTGTTTTGTTATATTTTTTCATACATTAAAGGCTTTTTAGCTAACTTTTATATTCATGCCACTACTTACTATATTGCGTCACATTTGAGTTTAATTTGTCATACTATTTTTTTTTGTTTTGTTCTGGCTTTAACAATGATGTATGTATTTAAAACTTAATTTTTCGTGAAGGGGATTTCGTATTATTTTTTTATTTTCTGAGCACAAACTGAATCTCTTTAATTCTGTAGTGCAAAGTCTGAATAAGTATACATAGTACGGTATAGTCAATATTTTAATTCTTTGCCGTAGTTATTAATCGATTTTAGTATGACAAAACGTAACTCGCGCGCAATACTTTTTGATTTTTATCACCACAGCGATAGAGACGCTTTTTGACTGTAGCGAGTTTTTATTTCTTTTTTCAGAGAATGAGCTATTTACAAAGAATATATCTTTATGAATGTTTCTGTTGTTTCTAGTCTTAATGTTAGTTATATATTATAACGTTAACGATTTCGTTTTCAATGCAAATATTACTTCAATGGCTCGTACCGTAGAAAAAATGTCTATCATTCTTAGACTAGGTGGACTTTCTACAATCGATACCGCTAATAGAAAACTAAATAACGTATGGGAATGACATTCTATCTCCGGAATCGACATAACACTTATGGCACTTCAAGGTATGATAGATACGTTTTTTTTAGTCCGGTCGCGGTTCGGAAAAAAATCGTACAATAATCTCTTTGCCTACTGTCATTGGTCACAAACATTTTTGTAGTAAATGCGTGTTATATGAAATATTTAAAAGAGAAAATTAAAAATTTTATACAAGAACAGACCTTAATCTCGCAAACAAAAAGTTTAAAATCCCTTAAGACGGCGGTCATTGCATCTGTGCGAGCGTGACGGCAATATTTTCACCCGGGAGCAACAGAGACAGGTAATAATAGCAGGTTAATGTACTGAATCCATCCTGCATCGCGACCGGTTTTTAGTCGTTTTGTAGTTTTCTATAGCGATAGCGATTGTATAATAGCATCTCGTCGAGAGCTGTTGAAGATCTCTATGCTTAGTTTGAGTTATATTAGTGATGCTAAACCTTTATTGGTAATGCTATATTATATTAGTAGAGTAGTTCACGGAAAAAAAACTATTAAGGTGCTTTTCAAAACGGGATTCTGAATTTTTAACGATTTCGAGAGGATTTGATTAGTTTTTTAAGTATATTTATTTTTTACGTAAATTTAGAATCCCGTTTCCGTCTATATTTGTGCCAACTTCGGATCAGCGATATTTTTCATAAATAATCTCGTACAAGTAGAAGTTACATATCGTAGAAGGTTGGTATGAATATTTTTGTTTTTTTTTTTAACTTTTTTCAGTATTAGGTAATGGTAATTTAAGACTCTAAAAAGGGTTTATAAGGCAGTACTACAATATCTTATTTACATATAAATGATATGTGTAACATTTTAAAATAATTAAAAATTAATATATATTCGATTAGTACGATTGGATAATTAAATGAAATCGATATGTCAAAAATATCGATGTAGTACTGTTGTTTATACTCTATGTATATTTACGTCATAATATATTTAAATTATTACTATCTAGTTCGCGAGTGTTCGCATGTCCTAAGTCTTATTGTTAGTGTGAAAATAAAAGATGTGTATTTTATATAACTTGGTATTGATATTATATTTTTCGAAATTTTTCGTTATTTTTCCAACAGAGTTTATGATAGCTTGTAAAAGATGTTCTTCTTATATGCATTTTATTAGATGTATTGAGCACCGATAGGTTTTTTTGTGCGTTTTTGTCGATTTTAAGTTTTTATTATGAAATATCTAGGTTTTTTTTAGGTAATGATGTGTTGATATTTTAAAGGAATTGATTAATTATGTGTACGACAAAAGCGCGCAATGTTTATGGAAGTTAAGTTTCCGAATTGAGTTGTAACTTTTGAAGCACATATATGTATATAACTTAACACGGCTGTATACTTTTTAATGAAACTTAGTAGTGAGCATGGATGATTTTTTTTTGTTTTGTATTTTTTTTTAAATAAATATATTTAACACTTTTGGTTTTATTTTTTTGTAATTTTTCTTTTCCTAAATGCGTAGGGATTTAATCTTCATATTTGAAACTGAATGTTGTGATGTAAAGCCGTTAGTTGAAAGTCAAATTATACTCTATTTTTCTAGCGGAACGTTGTTTTATTTAATTACCTTTATCTTGATTGTTATAAAAAGCTCTATTCTCGACATGACATCTTATCAGAAACATAGTTTTATTTAGAGTTCGCCGAGTGGTCGAACTTCGACCATGATTATTATTGTTTTTTTTTTTATTTATAAAACCAAAGCTCGTCAATAGCTATTAAATTAAAAAAATAAACAGTTCACAAACAAAATGTTTATTTTAATTAATGTATACTTTTTATCCCGGAAATCATCCCTTAAGGAGGTGAAAATGGGGATAAAGTTTGTACGGGGAATCAACCTACAGACGAACCCGAGCGAAGCGAGGGTGAGTCGCTAGACTTACCTATTTTGTAGAAAACAACATTTTTTAACATTGTTTCTTGTTTATCTTCACAGTATTATTTGTGTGATTAGCACAAATGTTTGTACTCCAGTCATGGGTGTTTATATTTATAATATGTATGTACTTAGTCATATATGTGCAGTGTATCAACTATCTGGTATCCATAACACAAGCCTCGTAGCTTACTCTGGAACTAGATGGTGCTGTGTGTTGTCCTAACATATTTATTTTATTATAAGAACTTGATGCATCTAAATAAACAAAATATTCCCCTAAAAATCCCATACATTCAAATTCTTTACTGCGTGAAAGAAGTACTAATATTAACTGCCTTCATATTTATATTCAAATTCGCGTTTAAATAATTCAGCTTCGTATAGCGTGACATACCACTATACATCATCCAATTAACATTTAACACCATACTGAAATCATTTTAATTATTCTGATATCTCATCTGACAATGCAATGTTATATTTATATCAGATTGAGCACGCTATCAACAGTTATATATGAAATATTCAAATTCTATCTCACATTTTTAACAAATATGTTAGCTGTGGTTGTCATATTTTGCTTGTTATACTTTTGTAACGTCCAAGGTAATGGACAAGTAGTAAGTATTTATATCATATTTAACTCAGTTGGGCATTGAAAGATTAATTTTAACTGTCAAATATATATATTTTATTAAATAGTTGTTCTTATTTTAAATCTAAAAGTAGACAATAATAATGTCCTCCCGACCGATTTCGGACACGGCGGCCAATCTCACTGAGACTAGCCATCTGCGCGGGAGATATTATAGTGCACAAGTGTACGCGCAGTCACAGATGCACTCTCTATTCTGGTCACTCTCATACTCCGGTGGGACGACTACTCGACACGACCGGTGAGAGTTTCTAACTCCTAACTCCGGGCATTCTTTCTTTGACAGAAATATAATTAAAGTCCAATTTATTTTTTACTAACAATATTGCCCGCGTTCAGGTGACCAAAAACCAAATTCTTATATTTTTGTAGATAGACTGACAGACAGATAGACAGACAAACAAAAATTCTAAAAACTATAGATTCGGCCCCTGTATCGATAATAATGTTTATTTCAATAAGATTTTCCAAAAAATATTTAATGTACAGTTCGACTCAGTTACAATTTTATTATAATAATAAAATTGTAACTGAAATCAATTAAAAGTTCAACTTATATGTAAATGTTAATAATATAGTACTAATGAATTTCAAACATAATTATTAATCAGCCAGAAGAAGATTCATACATTCTAAACTTTGATTCCCCGATCTACGTATGTCCGGATGAGGAGAGTCAGAAGTTTATAGATACTTCCCAAATCGCAATAGGAAGGCATAATGAAACTTGCTCTTACATGACTGGGGCTATAAGCTTTTTAAAGGGCATGCAGTCTACAACTATGGTACGTATAGAAATAGAGGCTTTTTTGACATTTTAAATAAAACTATCTTTACGGATTTTTTCGGTGATTTACGGACGTTTCGAATGCTTTACAAAACGAATGCAATCATGGTCACAGGAGAGAATAAGGTGTTAGATGTCTCAAAGGTATTATATAGTTGCTACAGACAGACCCACATATAACAAAATGAATTCAAAAATAGATGTATGGATAAATAAAAACTTAAGAAAATATTATGAGACTTTTTTGCTTAAATTTTAGTATGACGACGTTTGATAATTAACTAAATATTTAATCTCTTACATATCTAGTGGCTATTTTCGGTATTAATACAATTAACGAAAGTAGTTTATTGGTTTCTATGTGGCTTTTGTCGCTTTTGATGAGATCCTATTGGAGTTTTCAAGTTGGGTTCTTACTATTAGTTACTTAATATCTATCAATTGTTTTATCTTCAACGTTCACATTATTTTGTAACCCAATATACCTCAGAAAATAAACCTACAGCGCCATCTATGAATACGCAGCAGGTAATTAATAGTTAATTTTACAATGATCAGTAAAATTGGTAAAAGTAAAAACTGTGAAAGTTTAATTGAAGGACTTATTATCATTTATCTTTGTCGCAGATGTTTCTTAAATGAGACTACAATTTTCAAGTTCGATTTTTTCGTTTAGGATTTTTTAAACCAACCAAACAACGCCATCTATTGAAATTTATTTGAACTTATTTTCCTTATCTCTCCTTTTGACGAGAGTGAGGAATGAGAATTGATATTTGTAGTGTGTACTTTGTGTTTGTATAAAGTATAATAGCCATGAACTTTATTTCAGGTAGAAATCATTATAGAGAAAGAAATCAGCGGCAGTTTTGAAATGTTTGCGTCACACGAAATTTGTAACTTGTGTAAAGAGTTGGGAGATCCCGAAAGTACTTATAAAGATTACTTACAACATTTTGGATTCCCTGAAGTTTGTCCTTTCGAACCAGTGAGTATACGCATTAAACTTTTATTTATTACTAGCGACCCACCGTCGCTTCGCTCGGGTTCGTCCCTAGGTACGATTTTTTTTGAGCGAAACCCTAATTCTTTTTCTAAAATAAAAGTAGCCTATGTTACGCCCTATAACATTAGCTATCTTCCAGTGAAAGTCCCGTCAAAATCAGTCCAGTCATTTCAGAGATTATCCGGAATATTTAATAATTGTGTTTTTCTCATAAGTACCATATATAATTTCATATGCATTTAGTAAAACGCTGTTATTTTGACATTACAAACAAATATTTCAATTTCATTTATCTGTATAGACTTAGATTAAAACTGAGATCATTCAATATAGGCACTGAGTACCACAGGTGATACCTATGTACATACAATATACATACATAGTTCGTTTGCTAAAATGATATTATCTAGTAATTTTTTACTATTAATTTGATTTTATAATTTCCTAAAACAAATGTAAATAATATCTTGCAACTTATTATACAAAAAAAATTATATAGCACTTACGAAAAGTTAAAAATAAACGTAATATCTATTACAATCCGCATTCTGTTGTATTTTAGTTACGAATGTCAAACCAGATCTTTTAACATCCCGCTATTGAGCACGAGCTTTTCCTTAATTCCAGGGGCTTTAGTAAGCTTCTATGATCTATCAGACATACTGATTTACTCACATTTTTTTCTGTCATCGTATAAGCAAGTAATTATGTTACGTGCCGTGACTTAATAGCATTCTGATCCGTTTCAATAGGTTTTCCAAGCGAGTGTGCTACCGCTATATGCTCCCACTGCTACTAAACCTAATTGACCATACGTTTGGCTCAGTTTGTAGTGACCCTGCTTGCTGTGTCAGCGGTCGCGGGTTCGAGTACCGCTGGGGGAATTCATTTGTGTGATGAGCACGAATATTTGTACTACAGTCATGGGTGTTTATATTTATATTTATAATATGTGTGTATTTAAAATTACATATGTGTAATGTATCAACTATCTGGTATCCATAACACAGGCCTCGTAGCTTACCATGGAACTACGAGTAGATGGTGTTGTGTGTTAATGTCCCGACATATTTTTTTTTATTTTTTTTTTATTGATAGACCACCTATACCATTTTTTTCTAGAATACTTTCGCCGTGAATGATTTAGTGGCACACTCGAAGGATCTCCCCATTAACAGCGTAACAGTTGGACGATATCAAGTGACGATGAATTTTATTGAGAACCCCAGTTCTGATTGCTTGGACGAGAAATCATTCCTCGCTTGCCTTAAACTAGATTTTATTATTGAACCAATGTAAATCATTTCTATAGTTTATACCTATTTATTAATAAACGTTTATCGAAACACATATACACTGAAGAAATTATTGACCTATACAAAACCCACATTTTTTCATATACCTACTAGCTGAATTGTATTTATGATCTTTGAAATTGTACAAAAATCCTATAAAAAAGAGCACATTCACTTTCTCCCGAATTAATTTTCGGGCATCTTGCATTTTGAACATGTAAAAAAAAAACAAAAAGTGATGAACGCCTGTCTGTAAACTATCATTATCAATAAAATATCTAAATGGAATTGTTTATCTCACCAAAGACTATGGAATTGAATATTTGACCAAAGAAAGCTGATTTATTCTGATTTATCATCTATCGCTCGAAGACACTAACATAAGAGAATTATAAGATAAATAAATATACTTATATTGAACAATAATGTATTCCATAGCCGATTATATAAATAAAAATATAAATTTTAAAATTATGTCATTTATAAGTATTTCTCTACACTTCTATACATCGTCCGGTTCATTGACGTTGTCATCGCGACTGGACTCATAGAAGACTTCATCGTGGTCTTTCCGCACGTGTGTTCTAGCATTTACTTTCTTATTTTTTTCTTTTATGTGCCTTTTGGTTTTCTTACTGCTACTTTTACCTTTATGATCTTTTTGTGAATTGTCAGATTTTGTTGCCTTTTCTTTTCTATCACTGTCTGAGCTGTCTGAATCTTTATCTTTTTTCTCTCTGCATGATGAAAATTATTTTTTTAACTATGTTATATTGATCTTCGACTAAGATTAGTAAGAATAATTATTCCTAGATTATTACATACGTACAAAAATACAATTTAACGCCTTGTGATTTTATGATTGGACTCAAAAGCAAGTCAGGCACCGCAAACGAGTAACGCTTGCGTTAAGCAATATTTATTGTACAAAAGGTATACTACAATGTCTATCTTCTAAAAATCCCTTCCATTTTCCGGTTTCATTAAAATCGTTTTAGATAAATTTAAGCTCAATAAAATAAATAAGTAAATACTTACTTTTCTCTTAAAATGTCCTTATGCTTCTCGCCACTAGAAAATGATTATTTTTTATGAATTGAATATAAATTATAATATTAGATTATTAATTATTTTTATAATAAATACCTGTCATCAGCCTTATCGTCCTTTCTATGTTAACAATATTAGTTAATTAATAAAGAACACAAAATACAATTAAAAACAAATAAGTATCTAAAAATATACTTACCTCAAAGCTTTGTCATCGTCATCATCTCTGAAAAAGTATCATTTGTAAGTTGTAATAAAAATGAAATATATAAAATATCTAGCAGTAGGTACCCGCGGCTTTGCTCACGCTAAAACTACGAAAAAATCTCTATAAGAGTAGTTTCTTACAAACTTTCATCCACTATTTTACCCCCTTATAGAATGAATTTCGAAAAATGCTAAAACACGTATTTATTTAATTTTATTGTAGAGCATTAATATCAAGTTACAAGTAATTCTGATCATAAATATTATTTGGATTGTATTATAAAGTGTTTTCCCGTGGGAATTAGGTAAACTCCCGCGGTAAAGAGTAGCCTATGTCACTCTCTAGCCCTCCAACTATCTCCACACAAAAAATCAAGCTAATCCGTCACTCCGTTTCGATGTGAAAGAAGAGCAAACAAACAAAAAACACAGTTTCACATTTATAATATTAATAAGTCGTTCGTTACTAATATAATAATAAAAAATTTAAAACACATAATGGTCTGTTAAAGTAAATTCATTTATAATGTTAGAATGGATTATAATTGGCAACAAATTAATATCATGTTATATATTGACTATGGTGCGAGTGAAATCGATGAACGCCTAAATCGACTTCTGAAGAAAACGATACAGTGTAATGGTTATTTTTTGTGTATGTATACATGTATGTATGTATGTTGTATGTTGTATGTGCATGTATGAAATTGAAAAAATAAATTAATATTACTCGTCTTCTTTATTCCAAGTGACGGACCATTCTTCGTGAGTAATACCAGAACGGAAGACTCTCCTACAGTGTTTTCTGCGTAACAAAAATAAGTTATTTTATCTTTTATATTCATATAAATGAAATCAAATATACGGTTTATACCCAATTATCAATTTTATTTTAACACAAAAATACACAAAAGCACATATTATTATATATACTTATTTAAAAAAAAAACTTACTCAACGTCCTTATTAATGGCACAAGATATGAACTGTCGATTCTGAAAGACACTCGTGTAGAGGAAGGGTCCATGGCAGCGGTGGCTTTTCGGATCAATTTTACACGCCGATATAACACCGGTAGCACGCTCTTTGCCCTGATACTTTACTATCAACGGGCCGCCGTGATCGTTCTATCAGTAAATGAATAATAATCTGTATAAATATTATAAATGTGAAAGTTTGTGAGTATGGATGTTTGTTACTCTTTCACGCCAGAATGGCTGAACGAATCTAGATGAAATTTGGTACAGATATAGATTATAGTCTAGAATAACATACAGGCTACTTTCTATCCTGGAAAAATGTACGGTTCCCGTGGGATAGGTTTGTTTTTGATTTTCGTGTATAGAGGCGAACACGAGCAAACCGAGTGTGAGCCGCTAATTATTAAATAAATTAGATGTAATGAAGATATTACGATTATATACATAAGCTATATGGTTTTACTTTGGTCATGCAAAACCCTGTTGAAAAAACTCATTATTGTAGCCTTTATCCTTAAAACCGAACCCTCTACCCGCCAGTATCCTCTATCCCATATATCTTTTATCGTTTATCCCACGGGAATCTATCTTTATTGTGGTGTTAATAATCTATGCTATTTTTGCCATAAAACCATCGCTTTCTCTCTCTCTCTCTCTCTTGCATCTATGATACGAGTTTGCTGGCCATAAACAGTAGGTATTATTTTTCTTTTCAGCTAATTTGAAATCATAGAACGACTCAGACTTAAATTTTGTATAAGTATAGATAAATTGAATCACCTCACAAAAACCACCCGTTTTAACAAATCGCCTCGCGGTATAATCGTCAGGGTCTCGTAAATGTCTTCCGACGTCGATACGGAACGGTGCATGTTCATCATCTTCTTGGTCCACTCGTCTACTTTCTACGTCTGTGCAGTTTGCGTACTTTTTCTATGAAACATAAAGCAATTATAAAAGATATATTAGTAGTACATAAATGGCCATTCTCACCAAAATTCATGATTAAAATTGATTTAAACGTATTTTACATATTTTATTTTCTAAATCTGAAGTAATTTAGATAAAACATAATCTACTCACATCACAAATTTCACTCAACCTCTTCGTAAGGTCCTTCGTACAGATCATATATTGAGCGATAATTTCCCTAAATCTTTTAGCCCATTTCTTGGCGCACTGTTCATTGTCCATTATGCACACTTTTGCCTCTTGTAGATATTTGGCGTTTTCTGGTATATGGACTTTTTGACGACGATACACACCCTAAGAATCAGATAAATCTCTTGATAAAGATATGTGTGTTGGCAAGAAATGCTTATAGTTGGTTATTAATCTATACATATAATAGGTAATAAAATTGTAACTTAGCCGAATCAGTACATTAAATATTTTTTGGAAAATCTTATTGAAATAAACATTATTATCGATACAGAGGCCGAATCTATAGTTTTTAGAATTTTGGTTGGTCTGTCTGTCTGTTACCGCATCACGGGAAAACCACCTGATAGATTTTCATTAAATTTGGTATGATGATAGTTGGTTATCCGGGTCAACATATAGCATACTTTTTACTGCGGGAAAATATCTCATTTCTGAGAAATCTATACTAAACGTTAAAACATAACTAGGGACGAACCCGAGCGTAGCGAGTGTGAGTCGCTAGTTCTATAATACTTTCTTAGAATTACGCGAATATTTGACATTTTAAATAAAACTATCTTTTCGGATTTATTTTGATTTTTGGTTCCCGATATTTCGAATGCTTTCAGCTTTACAGCATTCTCATTTAGGATCTTAGGGTTTGATAGATTCATGAAAATAAGTTTCAAAATATTGACGTGATAAGCATAAAATGGCTGATTCAAGCCAATATAAAACATATATCTTTTAGCCCTTCTGCGAAACCCTCTCTTAACTAAATATGATTAAATAAAAGTGTCATATTACCTCTCTAAAGTTGCCGCCACTTCCCCATCCAGCGATGTAACCCTTAGTCCCGGCCTTTTCCAATTCCCTACTAATGTTATTATAACAAATAAGATCCGTTGCAAATTCGCATCCTTTTTCTAGCACGCCCAGTTTGAATGGCTTGTCCACTTTCACTATGGCTATGTCGTTAGAAGACCACTTTACACTGTCTTTGAAGTCGAATTTATAGTCTAAAAAATGTTAAATATGCTATGAAAGTTTCAGGTATGTAAATAGTAATTTTAAATATTTTAAATTTAAGTTGTATTGTTAACAAATATAACTTAAAAATTATATTTTTCTATAAATAATTATTTCTGATCAATTATTTCCAAAAGATAGCTTGAAGAAATATACAAAGAACTAAAACTCCAAAACTAAAGATTCTGTTTTGTTTATTCTACTAGGTGGGGACAAAATAGTTACACTTTTAAAATGGTTTATTTAATGAAATTCTGTGACTTAAAGACATGTTGTGGTGACATTAACACACAACAACATCTAGTACCATGCTAAGCTACGAGATTTGAGTTATGGAAACCAGGAAGTTGATACATTACACATATATAACTTTAAATACATACATATAATAAATATAAACACCCAGGACTGGAATACAAACATTCGTGGTCATCACACAATTGAATGCCCCCAGCGGGACTCGAACCCGAGACCGCTGGCACAGCAAGTAGCTTCACTACAAACTGAGCCAAACGTATCGTCAAAAACATAAATAAATATTTTGAATATTTTAGTTTTATTAAGTTACATACAGTTTGATAATTACGCAGCCTTCGATCAACCTAACTTTTTAGACGGTTACATTGGATGTAAGGCTTACAAGATGTTATTCTACAATTGTTAAAGAATATAAGTATTCAGCTCTTTTTAACGCTGACGGACTTCGCATCTCTTTCGAAAACTGGCTAGGTTTTATCAGACATGCAGGTTTCACCACGATGTTTTCCTTTACCGTAAAGGCAAATGGTAATCATGTCGGAAATGATTCGCACATGAAAATAACAGATGCGAAACGTGGGATTTGACCCCGCTTTACTCGGTTTCTTAAGCAAGCGTCCAAGTTCGTCGTTCCAAGTGGTAGCGACCACTTGGACCACAGCAAAGAATATTATATATAAATCTAAAAGAAATATGGTAATGACAGATAACGAATCTACGATATAATGATGAAAGTTGTAATTTCAATACAACGATTTCTATTCTCTAACGATTGTAGAATAAAAACTTATTTAAGCCCCACAAATATGGTACCATTTGGTATACTTACTTTTAGGTATACATTTCCACACGACCTTCCTACGGTGTTTACACACGCATTCATCCTTCTTGTAATCAAAGCTGTCCACATATTTGGTTGTACCAGAGACAATGTAGAACTTGTCCGCATCTTCCACGCACGCGGCAGAAGTCAGGACGTAGAAAGGATCAACGATAACCCCCCCGCAAAGCCAGCCGCGGTACTTGTGAGCTTTAGCTGATTCTTTTGTTAGTTGAAGGTAGACCTGTTTTGACCGAATTAATAGTAATCATGGAATTATCTTTAGAGTAGTGGAATAGGATAGAAATTAGGTTTCTCTTTATAACACTGATACAGGTGTTCTGTACTTCATTTAATACGTACCTATTTACTATTGTGTCGTTTATGACACAGAAAAGTAAAAAAATAATAATAAAAGAAAAACTAATGCATGTAAAATCAATGTATTCGTACGTGCATGCATGCGTGCTTGCGTGAACTTATCGAGTTCTGGACTTTTCTTTTTTGTACATTTAAAGTTTTTATCATCGATCAAAAAAGTACTTTTTTTTTAATTTTTTTTTAACGTTGGGAAATGCATTTACGCACGAGGTGTGGGACTCACCGGCAAAGCCAGTACTACCCACTAAAACCCAACAAAGCGTTCCCCCGTCTTAATGGGGCGTCGCAGGATCGCTTACGCATTCAACTACGACGCCCCGACGGCAACACGACAACAACCACGGTGTTGCTCCAAGGTCCACTCTGCTATCAGAGAAGTACCAGGAGCAACCCGCATGGTACACCGCCCTCTGAAGAGGGCCACCTCCCACCGCCCACCGAAGTGGGCCACCTCCCTGCGCGTTTCTTGGCTTCGCGCCCGGTTGGGTTGCCGGGCACTACTGAGCCCCCCACCACGACAAGGTGACCGCACGTTGGGGGGGGGGGATCAAAAAAGTACTAGATACACACTCCCAAGCAAAAGTTCTCTTATAACTGTCACCAATTGTGCTTAGGTTATTCTAGTTGAGATACATATACAATAATGTAAATAGAACCTTAAATGTTTAAAGTTGTTTTTACAAGAAAATATTTAAATTAAAAGCGCGTTCAAATGTTCGAATGAGCGCTCATTCGGTGGGGACATTTTTTGTCGCTGATTGTGGTTCTACATTTTAGATGGATGGTTTTTATACATTCTCTACAAGTAAAATTCTAACTCTTACGTACTGATAACAACTTCAGACGTTCATTTTTATGAATATTAATTTAAAATTAATATAATGACTTCTATATTAACTTTTAGTATAAAAACAAAAAATATATTATTTTATAATCTTACCATATAAGGTCTCTTGCCAGGGCCAACTTTTTTGCTGTACAATATCCTTCGAGTATCTACTATACTTGTGTTTTCAAACTCCCAGCCTTCATCTGGTATTTCTTCAAATTCAAGACTGCTATTACTACTACCTTTAGAAGCAACACTTGAAAGTCCTTTCGTAGTATTTGACAAAACTACATCTAAAAATTAACATAAATAAATAAAAATAAAAAATAAACTTAAGTAACAGTACTATTGTTTTATCTACAAATCATAAGTAATACACAATACAAAATCCTGTTAAGGATTTATATTATGTATTTAGTCAGAGTCTTTCTGAATAACAGCCATGTCTTATATCGATAGTATAAATTAATACGGCCAAAAAATAAATCGTTTTTTATACGTATTCTCATGAAACCGCAGGTTAAGGTTAGTTTTTTAATAATGTAAAAAATATCAACTCTCTCTTACCCAATATTAATAAAAAACAAGAAAGTAAAAGCCCAAGAGTCGTCATTTTTATTGTAAAAACCAATAACAGAAAGAAAATTATTCTGTTATCAAAGTTCTATGAAACGTTAATTATCCGCTCAATTTAAAAGTTATTTAAAATCAATAATAATAAATACATTTACTGTCTGTTTCCGTTTGTAAATTAAAATTAACTTTTATAGTTTCTCTGTTTAATATACCTATTTATTCTCAAGTGTAGATCATATTTTAGTATTAAACACTTGTCTTAGAGAACTATGCCTTACTCCATTTTATTTCTTGGCTGTTGGAAGTCATATTTTTTCATTAGAACATTATTATATTCTATTTGTAATAATTTATTTCGGTTAAAAAATTAAAATAGGTTGAATATATCTTTTAATTTTAAATTAATATTGCTTCGAGATCCCACTGCAAGATTGCTACATTCATGGCGTATTTGATCGAAATAATTTTTTTATATACAATAATAAAAGGGACAATATGTTTTGACCGGGGGCTAGTATGTTTAATTAACTAAATAATAGTTGACTTTTTGGAATAAAAACGATGCATTTGTTATTACAATGAATTATACTCCACTTCACAGAACTATACGTAAGAGATCTTGAAAAATGATAGCTGCCGTTGCACATTTGGCCGCAACCTCATCGCAGCCAGGTGTAAGCGGGTCATATTTTGGAACGATTATACGTTCATCGCGCATGTTCATCTTATATATATCAAATTAAAGCTATTTTTTTTCTGTGCATGATAAAATACCCTATGTCATTTGTCAGACCATAACAACGGTTACCATGGCAAAGATAGATTAAAGTGAAAGAGAGTTAGCGCGTTAGTTATCTGTTTGTTGCCATGGTAAAAAGTATGCTATATGTTGACCTGGATAACCAGCTATCACCATACCAAAGTTCATCAAAATCCCTCCACTGGTTTTTCTGTGATGCGGTAACAGACAGACAGACAGGCAAAAATTCTAAAAACTATAGATTCGGCCTCTGTATCGATAATAATGTCTATTTCAATAATATTTTCCAAAAAATATTTAATGTAGATTCGGCTTAGTTACAATTTTATTATATGTAGGTATAGATATAGTCAAACAAAAAAATCAATACTCATAGCTTTATTTAACAAGATTAACAATTACGGCGCTTTACTATAATTTGTATTTACAGCTTTAATTATAAACCCGCTGTCCGAAAACAATTTGTTTGAAGCAACGTTGCCTTCATTCGCGCGCTGCACCACCGCTGGCAGTGTTGACTCAAGGTTTAACTCATTCATGGCGGGTCTGTAAAAAATCGCGTAACATATATATTTTGATGAAAAGGTTGTTTACATGATAACTATAGATACTATTATTTATTTACATAATATGAAATGAATGAAAACCTGATATTTTATGATTTTAGAATGTTATCAGGTATATAATGAATAGAAATTCGTAAAATATCCCTGATGCCCATCTACCCTCGAGAAATGATGATTTCCGGGATAAAATCCTATGTCCTTCCCAGGGTTTTAAACTATCTTCTTTCCAAATTTAATCTAATTCGGTTCAGTAGATCCTGAGATTAACCCCAACAACCTCACAAACTTTACCTCTTTGTAATATTAATATAGATATCTCGAAAACGGGACGCTTTAGAAGATTGTATTGCTGATACTTCACTTTTTATTTGTTTTAATGTTGGCGGGAGAGAAAAAGTTGATATATTCAAATGCCACTAGTAAAACCTTATCTGATAATCTTAATTAATTATTATCATAAAGATTACCCGTCCGGATGATTTTTCCAAGATAGTACTTTCTCAACATGAGTCACTCCAGATCTGAATTGACGCCTGCATTTTATTCTGAAATTAAAATTCATAAACAAAAGAGATATATAAAATAAATGTACATAAATAATAATATCCCGTATATGTGCTTATAGGGAATTTATTAAGATGCTAAAGCCTAAGACAGGTGAGTTCGTAAAAATTCTATAAGAGAAATTCTCGCTCGCTCGCTCTGGTCAGCTTTACTTGACTTGCTCTGGTCTATCTATACTCCGCCCGTCGTTCTATAACGTATTTGAACTATCATCCAGAGTATATATTATTTACTATAGTCTATAGAATCTACTTTAAAAAGGGGATTAAAGCGTATCTTAATTCTTATACCACTCTCCGGTCCACAAACTTGCTCTATGCAGAACATCATCTATTGTTAACTTACTTTGTGAAGAAAAGATAAATTAATTAACATTGATTGATTACTATTAAGGATTATAATAATCGATTCACAATCAATGAATATATCGTTAACAAACACAAAAATACAGCCAAATTAGATAGGTACTTTTTCTAAGTCAGTCAAAAATTTATTAATGGTGACTTAAGAATAAAAGTAGTAAAACTCACTCAAAATCCTTGTAAATCGCACAAGATATGAACTGACGGTTTTTATAGACGCTAGTGTAGAGGAAAGGTCCGTAACACTTGTTGGTTCTTTCTTTAACCAAGCAAGCCGAAATAACTCCTATTACTATGGAATTTACACCACTACCATAGACTAGTGGTCCTCCGTGGTCGTTCTGCAAAAATATTTACAAGGAAATAAGTTTATTAAGCTTTTATTGGATTTAGCATTGTATATATATCTTTTCAGCAGTCGTCAAATAAAGTTTTTTACGAGGCAGTTGTAGCCCACTCTCGGTTGGAAAACCGAGTGTAGCGGGTTTTACTCCCACGTTGAGATCCGCTTCACTTCTGATATTTTCCTGTGCGAATCATTTCCCACATGATTACCACCACTTGTTTTACTGTGAAGGAAAACATTGTGAGTAATCTGCATATCTGAGAGAACCTACAATGCTCTTGAAAGATAGGTGAAGTCCGCCAACTCGCACTTGGCCAGCGTGGTGCGCTATGGTCTGATCCTCCTCGTACTGATGGGAGGCCCGTGCCCAGCAGTGGGACGATAAAAAAGACTGAATACAATATAAGTACTACAAATAAGTACTATAATGTACAAATACCTCACAAAATCCCCCATCGGCTTGCGAAACGCCATATCGCCTACTGTCGTTATATGCGGAGTGCAACACCAGGTTTTCTGGCACTCTTTCCGTTACTCTCGAATTTCGTCTCGCGTCCTCTTCATCGGAATAACTTATATCTTGACAATCTACATATTTTTCCTGTGGATTTTATTGATGTATAGTATGTACTGTTTTGTTTGTTTTTTTTCTGCTTGGCCCTATGTACTTAGTATAATATGTTTTTTTTTTACAACCATTTACCCCTATATATGATCACTGCTTTGTATGTAAATGTAAAGCATTTGCAGCTCAAGATTTTCTATAAATTTTCAATTAATATAATTCTTTGTAATATTTATATTTTAGGCAAACTGCATTTAAAAAAATATCCTTAAGTTTAAAAAGCATTTTAGCTTCTTTTGTTCAAAAATCTCACAAAATTGAAACGTTCACTTTGCTAGTAGGTACTACTAGAGTCTAGTACTAGTAGAGCCACTACAAACTGAGCCAAACTTGACGTCAAAGGTGTTCAAAGTTATACATATATATGTAGTGTATCAACTATCTGGTATCCATAACACAGGCCTTGTAGCTTACCATGGAACTAGATGGTGCTGTGTGTGAATGCCCCAATATATTTATTTATTATTTATTTACATAGGTACATATTATAAATATTACTCGTATATTGTTAGTTACACACTCTCAGGGAGATAGACGAAATAACGTAGTACCAGTGTACTTCGCCGCATTGCGAATATAAAGTTGAATAAATCTTTAATATAATCAATAATTATTTTATTTCTAAAAATATTATAAAACAATACAATTTTAATTTCTTCTAATTTCAAAAAAATAAAAAAAAGTACACATGTAATAAATAAGATATAGTAAACAATAAGTAGTTTAGAGCATACATTACAAATTTCAGACATAGTTTGACCGATATCCTTAGTACAAATCATGTAATTGTCGATAATATTATGATATCTCGAGCCCCAATGACGCTTGCATTTATTCTTAGGAATGATTTCGACACTAGCTTCTAGAAGATTCTGTTGATTTTCTTTCCTTCTATTTACCCACTGTAACAAATAATACTTACTAGCAAAACCCACATTTTCGCTCGCGGTAAAACTACAAAAAAAAACTCTTTGGTTTTATGTAAAAAAAATTGAAATCGGCTCAATAGTTTCTGCGTTTAAAGCACTTAAACATATTAAAAACATCATTATTACAATAGTGTATGGAAGTCTGCCAGATTTGTTGACATTTATGATTACTACTCCGCTCCCTTGGGTAGTAAGTAGCATGATGATTTATAGCCTATAGCCTTCCTCAATAAACGGGCTATTTAATGCAAAAGAATCTTTCAAATCGAATTAGTATTTCCTGAGATTAGCGCATTCAAACAAACAAACAAATAAACTGTGCATCTTTATAATATTAGTAAAGATAAATAAAAGAAATTTAAAATAACATGCTATAGTTACGAGTTTATTATAAAGTATATCAAGAAAATTGTAAAAATAAATTAAAGTAGCACTATAATATATTTTCATAATAAAAAGGTCATCAAAATTATTATATACATATTATATATCTTAATTTATGATTCAAATCGTTACACTTTGGGGGTCAGCATTTTTAGGGAATAAAATGTGAGGGCTTAGGAGTTTCAAAGTCCATTTTTGGTAAACATAATATGTAAGAGTATTAATTGACTAGCGGCTCACCCTCGCTTCGCTTGGGTTCGCCTCTAGAAAAACACTAATAGAGATCTATTAGTTCCCACGGGAACCGTTCCTTTTTCCAGGATAAAAAGTAACCTATTTGTCATTCTGATGTATAATGACCTATATTATTGTAAAGTTTCAGCCAAATCCAATCAGTAGTTTTTGTGTAGTTAGCTGTATAAGTTACTATAGTTTTTTGACTGTCCCACGGGAATCCTTTAATTTTCCGGGATGAAAAGTGCCCAATTTGTTATTGTCATGTATGAACTACATTATTGTAAAGTTTTATTAAAACCAATCAGTCGTTTTTGTGTACTAAGCTGTATTAGTTATTATAGTTTTTTAACTATCCCACGGGAAATATTTAATTTTCCGGGATAAAAAGTATCTAAGATGTTGCCCGGGGATATAAGGTACCACCATGAAAAATTTCATTTAAATCGGTCCAATAGATTCGAAGATTAGCCCGTACAAACAGACAAACAGACAGAGAAACAAAAAATTTGAAAAAAAAACTGTATTTATTCTACTTGTCTTCTTACATCCTTCTGACTCGGTTTTTAGCATTTTTTTTGCTATGTACAGACATTCGACTTCTACTGTTTTATTATAGTATAGATATTAGTAATTCCAAAGTGACATATGAAGAAATTCTCAATTTTAGTAGGGATAGGTGGCGGTCACAACTTCGTGCTCGTAAATAATATATTTTTTACAACTTTGACCCCCTTTTTCCGATCAACGATCAGTCTGATCGTCTCTAGACTACTTTTTCCCATGCTAACATTTCCCATAAAAACCTCGATAAAAGGGGCTTTTGTTACTCTCCGACCCATAAGCTAATTCTTTGGTAAAAATCACATCATTTAATACTCTGTCGATGCGTAAAAAATAGTAAAATCTATAAACACACTCTTGAATTTACTATATTAGTAGAAAGAAAAAAAAGAGTAATGACAATAATTCTAAATTTGATATAATTCTTCTATATCACTTATACTTGGGCGACCAAACTTCGCTCGGCGTAGGCGGTCGTTCAATAGGTTATGCATTGGCGACAAAGCAAGTACCACGAGCATTTATAAAATGGCGCTCTATGACATAGTCATTATTAGAGCAGATAGAGAAAGGCTCTAATAATTAGTTACAGTATCCGTACTTAACATTATAAATGTGATGTGATGTGTTTGTCTGTTTGTTTGTTTGTTTGTCCTTCGAATAAATTTCGAATTTTTCGAAAATTCGAATTTCTTTTGACCTGAATACGTCAAAACGAATTGACGGATTAGCGTGATTTTTTGTGCGCAAATACATAGTTGGAGGGCTGGAGAGTGACATAGGCTACTTTTTACCACGGGAGATTATCTCATTCCCACAGGAAAACACGTTATAATACAACCCAAAATATTATTTACGATCAGAATTACTTGAAACTTGGTATTAATGTTCTTCAACACAATTAAATAAATGCGTATTTAAGCATTTTTCGAAATTCATCCATAATGGGGTAAAATAGGGAATGAAAATTTGTATGAAAACTACCTTTTTTAGTTTGAGCACGAGCATAGGCGCGGGTTCTGCTAGTAATTAATAATTTTAAATACAAATTTTAATTCAAATCGTTACAGCCATTTCCGAGATACACGAAATTTTATATAGGTACATACTCGTATGTACAAGAATTGCTCTTTTAATTATTTACTTACATCGTTATACCTCGACGTGGTCCCCCATCCAGCTATAGTGACAACGGTTCCAGGATTTTCTAAAGTTTGACTCTGATTGTTATAGGAAATTGGCTTCGGAACAAATTCACATCCTTTTATTCGCCTATTGAAATCAAAACCACCTTCCACCTTAACTACTGCTATGTCATTGTTCATCCATCTGATGTTATCATTTTCATGACCATCGAATACGTAATCTATACGTAATATATAAATAATACTTATTAAAGTATACGAATAAACATATATATATATATATATATATATATATATATATATATATATATATATTTAGTTGAAAGTTACACGGAGCATTTAAATATTAAAAATTAACAGCACTATAAATTATAAAAAAATAAATAAATATCCTATTATAATTAGTAAGTAAACAACAAAAGAAGAAAAAAAAGCAATATCTATCATGAGGAAAAAAACGTTTTAGCAATACAATAAACACAAGTTAAAAGCTATCACCATAGCAGTCTAATATCAGAGACTTACATTTTTCAATTTTATTAGAAAATAATTAAAATTATAAGAATTTTATTAAAAAATTTAGATTATATTAAAGAGTAAATTATTCACCTTTTTGGATTTACATATACATATACCTATCTAAATACTATATATTATGAATTTAAAACCATTGACATAAGCACTTACTTTTCGGTACACATTTCCAAACAGCTTTCTTAGCACCATTTTTGATACAAGGATTATTAAATTTGTCATCTTCATCTGAATACCTAGAAATTTTGCAGTCACTTATATATCGTTAAAGTTTTATAGTTACATCTATAAACTTGAAAATAAAACACTCCTCACTATCCTTATTATTTCTACATTTCAAAATTATATTTGTTTCTTGTAGTTCTTTTACACATCAAACGAGTTACAGACGGACGTGACTTTTTGCGTACATATGTATATATTTTAGACAAAAGAGTCATGAACACATCTGGTATAATTACTTATTCCAAAAATAACCTAAAGTCGAAGCTGACGGATCACAGGTGTTATACCAATAAATTACTATAAACTTACTTAAAAGTACCAGAAACCACGTAGAAATGATCCGCATCTTCGATACAAGCAGCTGATGTTAAAATATATTCTTCATGAATTATCACTCCACCGCAAAGCCATGTACGGTAATGAGGTTTCTTTTTGTTGGTCTGAGGTAGTTTTAGGTACACCTATATAAAAAAGATTTAGTATTAATTATATACATGAATGATCTGTGACCGATTTCAGAATCAAATAAAGAAGAATAATATGATGTAAAGCCGTCCATATTTGAGAGTTATTTAAAAGTTGCTTGTAGAAAAAAACATTTAAATATATTTTGGGCAATGCCAAAGGACGAATTGGGTAAAAGAGAGATCTTCATCAAATCATTCAAGTTGAAAAACAAATAAAAATGCCCTTTTTGCAAAGTGTTAATATACTATGAAAAATCTTGATAGAAAAATCATGCATACCATATAGGGTCTTTCATCATTTACTTCATAGCCATTAATGATTCTTCGAGTCTCATTTAGTATCTTTCCTACTTCTTCTGGAATATGAGCTGCTACTTCGAGAGAGTCAACATCTAAAAATAATTACTTTAGTAATACCTTTTTTTTGTTTAAATGCGTCAAAACTAAAAAAAAAACGCGTGAATGTACTTATGTACGTACGTAAGAAGTTATACTTCTTTGGCGTAACAGAACAAAAATAGCTAAAGATTTCATCCCGTACGTCACAACTCTTTGTCTGTAAAAGGATCGTCGCTTTCAGCTAACTTCATCATGTCGCTTTTTGGCTGTCGGTGTGCGCGCGTCGTAAAATTTTACTCTCATAATTTATTCCTAAACGTGCCAAAAGAAGTATAACTTCAAAAAATACTTCGCAAAAGTTGAGTTAAGCACATGGCTCTAAAATGCTCTGTAAAAAGACACATTCCTACTAACTCTATGCGTGCTAGTATTAGTGACTCTAGATGTACTTCGCATTTATTTACGAAAGCTCTTAGGTACGAGGATTTTTCTGTACTTAATTCACAAATAGTTTACCGTTAGCTTATCTTTGCAAGGTGTTTACAAATAGTAGTCCTATCTAGGAATCTTTAACTTTATTTAAACCTGTATGAAAATTCCTTCACTAGTTCCTTTGATTAGCCCGAACCAACATACTTCCAATCTAAATTTATAATATACTAGCAGTACCTGCGGCTTCGCCCGCGTTCAAACTATTAAAAAAAACAAACTCTTTGACACACCGACAGCAGCGCCACCTCCCGGGTTTTGTTGCTTACCAATTATGTTTTCAAACTATCCAGGAGTCCTTTGAAAAATACACACCAAATTTCATCCAAATCAGTCCAGCCCTTTAGGAGGAGTAAGGTGACAAACACGTACAGAAGAATTATATATATTAAGATAGTGATAATTTTTTTAATGGATTGATATTTTTTTATAAATAAAAGAAATATTTTGTTGTTTTGAATAAAGTATGTTTTGAAATAATGTAAATTAAATACTTACTGAAAAAATATAATAAATATGTCACAGAATAGAAAATAACTTTCATTTTTCTTAAAAAAATTAAACGTAAAAACATTTGCTATTGATTTTCAATTTCACGCCTTGCAATTCCACATTATTATTATATAAGTACTTGTTCTGGAAATCTTATATCGTAAATTATAATTTCAATAGAATTTCCTTTAGAAAATATGTACTACGTACCAATACATACTATGAAACAAATAATCTTTGAAAAGGATGTTTTTTTTTAATTACGCTAAGATCGAAAGTCTGCATATAAATTTTATTACCAATTATAAACTGCACTAAAACCTGACTAAATAACATATTTCCATGTTAAAATAATATTATCTATACAAATAATAAAATTGTAACTAAGCCGAATCTGTACACTAAATATTTTTTGGAAAATCTTATTGAAATAAACATTATTATCGATACAGAGGCCGAATCTATAGTTTTTAGAATTTTTGTCACAGAAAAATCACTGGAGGGATTTTGATGAAATTTGGTATAGTAATAGCTGGTTATCTGAAGCAACATACAGAATACTTTTTATCGCGGTAAAATATCTCATTTCTGAGAAAAAATACAAAAAATGCAATGTAAGAGTATACTAATATGTAAACTATCTGAACGCGGGCGGAGCCGCGGGCAGTGCTAGTATTGAATAAGATGTAAAGATATTACTTACTAGCTAATTGAAATTCTTTAGTAAGCATTTAGCAATATTTTCGTAATCTTTTTGCTTATAATCCCAAGGGGCTACGATAAAATGTCATTCTATAATTGTTGAAAAAATGGAAATTTAAAAAAACTGTATGGAAATGACGAAAATCTAGTGTATACCCATATATTTTTTTAAATTTTTAGTCATCAACCATTATAGCTTAACATCTTATCTAAGCAGCTATAACATGTTTAAGTAAGTTACTTTATGTCTAAATCCCTACGAAAGTTTTTAATGCTAGAAATAGTTAAGCACTCTACCTTAGTGAGTATGTTAAGAATATGGCTCTCTGAATGATGTAAATTGCCTAGATGCTACTGGCGACTCATCCTCGCTTCGGTCGGGTGCGTCCTTAGTTACGTTTTAACGTTTATAATAGACTAACAGTACCCGCGGCTTCGCTCGCGCTAAAACTACAAAAAATCTCTAAAAAGGTAATTTCATACAAACTTTCATCCCCTATTTTACCCATTTATAGGATGAATTTCGAAAAATGCTAAAATACGTATTCATTTAATTTTATTGAAAAGCATTAATACCAAGTTTCAAGTAATTCTGATCATAAATATTTTTTGAATTGTAGGTATTATAACGAGTTTTCCCGTGAAAATTTGAAAATCTCCCGCGGTAGAAAGTAGCCTATGTCACTCTCCAGCCCTCCAACTATTTCCACACAAAAAACTGCCAACTGCCAACTGTGCAGGAGATATTATGGTGCACAAATGTACGTGCAGACACAAGTGCACTCTCTATTCCTGTCACTCTCATACTCCGGTCGGACGACTGCTCGACACGACCAGTGAGAGTTAAGGCGCAGAACCGACGGCTTTACGTGCTCTCCGAGGCACGGGGGTGAAGCACCGCCAACCTCCCAACTCCGGGCTGTTACTGGGACTTACTGTACAGAAAGACTCAATAACTAAACTTGGCCCGACCCGGGACTCGAACCCAGGACCTCCGAGTGTGCAGCCGTACATGCTAGCCACTACACCACCGAGGCAGATAAATATCGATCTGACTCGGATAACCAACTATCATCGTACCAAATTTTATCAAAATATGTCTAGTGGTTTTCTCGTAATGCGTTCTCAGACAGATAAAAATTCTAAAAACTCTAGATTCGGTCTCTGTATCGATAATAATGACTTGAAATAGTAGTTAATAAGATTTTCCAAAAAATATTAATCGTACAGATTTGACTCAGTTTAAATTTTATTGTATGTATAGATGAATCAAACAAAAATAATAAAATGCATCTTAAATACTTCACAAACAGTTTATTAAATGAATTCATTGAGAAGAGTTATTCGTTGTATTATATTTCGATGGGCGATTTTCAAATGCTCTCAGTATAACTCCTTCGTGCTTCACGATTGTATCAACAGGGGTTTCATTGTATTTACTATCTGCTCTTCTTATTACCTTTTCTTCTGTTTTTGCTGGTCTAAAAATGATTGTATAATTGAAAACTGTTGATGTACATAAAAAATTAAGACATTTTTTGTATTGTTTCAATTTATATTCGATACTAGCATTGCCCGCGGCTCCGCCCGCGTTCAGATGACCAAAAACTAAATTCTTAGGTGTTACATATTAGTATACTCTTACATTGCAGTTTTTGTATTTTTCCTCAGAAATAAGATATTTTCCCGCGGTAAAAAGTATCCTAGGATCGCGCGCTACATCGCCCGGTTTATATAGCTTGAGCAGGCGGTCGAGCGATGCGGGGCAGAGGGGATGGACTCGCCGTAGGCATCTCAATGCTCGCCAAGCATTAAAAATGTTTCGCTACTAATTACTTCTAACAACGATATCTCAAAAACTATTCATCTGATTGATTTAGTGTAAAGAGCAATTTTAATCTGCATTAAATGACTAAGCTAACTAAAATATTCATTTGGATAAGGATTAATACCGAAACTAAAGAAAATAACTTTGAAAATAACGTAATGTTTTTAATTAAAAAATGTTAACATAAAAGTGTTTATTGTAAGTCAACCGTAAGAGATAGAGATATGCTATCGCGGACTTTTTTGTAGCATTTTTATAGATTTTGAATTCTCTAGTACATTACTTAACTGTATCTTTGCTAGTTTACGCGGCGTTCGCGTGGAAAGTTCCCATTTGGCGAGATTTTTTGCGACCTCTTCAACATTTGTCGCCGTATTTCAGCTAATTTACATAAAAGCATAATAAATTATATACCTAAACCTTCCTCAAGAATTACTCTTTCTATTGTTGAAAACCGTATAAAAATCCGTTCAGTAGTTTTCGAGTTTATCGCGTACAGACAGACAGGAGGACAGAAAGACGCGGCCGGGGGACTTATTTTTATAATAAGTATAGATGTGGTACAATTTATATCGTATCATTAAAATTATCGTTATTTTTTTGTGTTTCTCGATCAAATTTTTAATAATATACTTGTTATTGATTGCGTTAGTAAAACATTCCGAAATACCCACAAAAACTTTACGTTTTTTTTTATTTTTCTAATTTTAAGTATATTCTTTTAGTAGAATAGGTAAAAAACACTGAGACATGCAGCCAAGTGAATAATCCTATATTCTACATTCGTTCATATTAAACTAAAGTGTTTATTAAACCCCAAAAGATATTAAATAACTTAAGTTTTTCATCATAATTCTTACCCATCTGGATGATCGGCCCAAGTCATTTCCTCTTCTCTATATGACGAACCAGATCTAAACAGTTTTGAACAGCCGTTGCTAGAACTACCAATGAGTTTTTGAAAATAATAATTTTATTAATTGATTTTTTTAATAATTGACATAACAAAGTATTATTAAAGATAATTTTATATTTTATTAATAAAGATTAATAAAAAATAAAATTATCTTAATTGTTACTTAAAATCAGTAAAAGCGACGGTTAGGCGGATTCAAATGAATTTAGGTATGACCTGAATGTAGGCTTTATTTAGGTAACTTATTTAGGCAACCTGAGTGAATAAACCCTATGTTGCTGCTACCATTTATAGATTCTCAATAATAATTAAGCTATTTATCAGTTAAAGAATCAGAGCGATATTTCTGTAAATTACCCCCCACATACAGATGCACAAAAATTGAGAATTTTAATTTTCTATAAGGCATATAATACATGTATTCAGTCCTTTTTAACGTCTCACTGCTGGGCACGGGCCTCCCTTCAATATGAGCAGGATCAGGCCATAGTCCACCACTCTGGCCAATTGCTGGTTGGCGGACGTTGGTGGTCTTTTAAAAACTGGCTAGGTTCATTCAGATATGTAGGTTTCTTCACGATCATGTTGGAAATTATTCGCACATGAAAAGATCAGAGGTGCAAGACCCGGAATTTGAACCTCCTTCACTCGGTTTCCCAAGCGAGCACGTCACCACTGGGTTATCACGGCCAGTATAAATAGATAGATTATACAGTGCGTAAATAGATTTAGATATAATATAAAAGGTAATAATTAAAAAATCCATACACGAGATTTTTATAAAGAGTGCAGTCGATAAGCTTCCTGTTTTTATACACACTGGTATATAAAAATGGTCCATAGCATTTGTTGGTTCTTTCTGTGACAAGACATGCGGAAATTATCCCGATTACTACTGCGTCTGAACCATCTTCATATATTAGTGGACCACCGTGATCGTTCTAGAAAGGTTTATAATTTTTTTTTTATAAAAACCTTAAAGTTTTTCGGTTTTTTTACTCTGTTGTTTAAAAATATGTAATATTCTTTCTTATTAAAAATTTTACACTTTTTTTTTCTTTTTAGTCCTACTAATATTATAAATACGAAAATTTGTGAGGCTGTATGGATATCTGAATGTCTCGATGTATAGATGTATGGATGTTTGTTACTCTTTTACGCAAAAACTACTGAATTGATTTTAATGAAACTGAAATGAATATATAGCTCATACATAAGAATAGCACATAAGCTACGTTTTATCCCGGAAAATGTACGGTTCCCGTGGAATAGATTTGTTTTTGTTTTTCTAGAATAGGTATCAAGTAGTTATTAAAAATAGAATTAACGTATAAAATAATATTTTATTGTAGTAGTAGTAGAAATGATATTTAAAAAGAAAATAGATTGAAAATAATTTTATTATTTTTTCTTTATATTGAATTCTAATAAATTTAAAAAAAATTAAGAAAATATTGCAACCCTTAAGGTATTTATTTAAGTACATTATATATTTTGGACCACCTTTATAACTAACCTCCCTATATTTAAAGCAAGGCCTCCTCCTTTTATTTAAAGGAAAAAATATAAAAAATCATACCTCACAAAACCCTCCACTCACAACTTGCGGTTGCCTTCTCCCAGTTGCGTTATGATACGCTGAATGTAATACCAGTTCGTTGGGACTTATTACCCTTCTACTGCCCACTTCATCGGAATACATTATATCCGAACATTCTACGTATTTATCCTAGTGATGAATTTATTTAAAGTTTTAAAATGTCTCTTCCTGTATAAAAACTGGTGTTTAATTTAATTATACGCAATTGTTCCCCTTTTAATGACCAATCTAATAAAATAATGTTTTTATTTCTCAGACTAAAGAATTTTATATACGGATTCCCCCAAAAGTAATACCAAAGTCCAAAATAGTAACGTGATTTGCTAGTTTATGCTAGTATTCTCGATTTCGCCATATAGATCGTTTACTTTCTTTCAAGAATAACGAAAATTTTATATATGTAGTAATTAATTATAAAAATAATGCTATACTCTTTTGTGTTTTTTAAGAATTACTTCTCTTCCTCCTTTAAAAAATAGCTTAATAATAATTAATTTAATTTTTGTTTCTTTAATCAATTCTCTCGTTAATGGCTTCAAAACATGTTAGTGGAGCATTACACATTTTCTTGCCAATGCCGAAAATTTAAATAAAAAATCATAATTTCCAAAAAAAATTTTAAATAATGTTCAAAACTTCAAAAAATGTCGCCATTTTTTTTTTAATCTATATTTGAATGTCACGTGGAATGGAGAGGACACGAAGGGATTGGTCGGTAGAATATGATTATTATGGTGTAGGTATAGTTTTTTTTTGATAAAACTTACGTGACAAACTTCACTTAAATCAGGGTTAGTGTCTCTCGAACAAATCATATAGTTATCTATAATGTTGTGGTAGCGCGGCCCCCACCGACGTTTGCAAGCAGTTTTAGATATCAGTACCACTGTACTTTCTAACAATTCTTGTACTGGGGCTTGACTTCTTTGGTTCATCAACTGAGAAAAAAAATATGTGTTTTTTATTTAAACTAATTAACTTTTTCTTTATTAACGAGGACGTTACAAACACGATATATGTACATCAATACTAATATTATAAATGTGAAATTGTGTTTGTTTGTTTGTCTTTCTTTCACGTCGAAATGGCAGAATGGCGTGAGTTTTTGTGTGGAGATAATCGGAGGGCTGGAGAGTGACATAGGCTACTTTTTATTCCCACGGAAAAACACGTCATAATACAATCCAAAAAATATTTATAATCAGAATTACTTGAAACTTGGTATTAATGCTCGTCAATACAATTAATTAAATACGTGTTTTAGCATTTTTAGAAATTCATCCCATAAGCATCATAAAATAGCGAATGATAGTTTGTATGAAACCTACCATTTTAGAGTTTTTTTTTGTAGTTTTAGCGCGACGACGCGCGGTTTCTGCTAGTACTACATATATGTATATTTTACAACCAATCTTTGATGTTTAGTTTATTTCAAATGAATGTTTATATTTTTCGTTAAATTCATTAACTATTTCTATGCGGTGTTGTTAGAAATAAATTTTAATTAACTGGCCACCACATTTACTCAGTGAAATGTGTTTGACAGGTAATGGTACAACTTTATTATTATAGTCATAAGTTCAATTCCTGGACAAAACAATTTATATTGACCATTTACAACATTTTATCTACGTCAAGCTGAGATAGAGTGCAGCGATTGAGTTTTATTAATAAAGACATTTTTTATAGCTTTTTTGACTGAGATTTTAATTTTATGTGGGCACTCCAAATGTTCCTTTCATTTAATCAATAATAATCCTTAGATTTACAGCCATTATTAATATGTAAGTAGGTATACAATCTTACTATGTTTAATATAATTAATGTGAAAATTTAGATGGATGTTTGGATGTTTGTTACTCAATCACGCCAGAACGGCTGAACGAATCTGGTGAAATTTGGAACGGAGATAGATTAAAGTGTGGAATAGTAGGTATGTATATAGGCTACTTTTTATTCACATTGTACAGTTTTCGGGGGATATATTTGTGTCTCTTCTCCTAGAGCGAACCGAGCGAGGGCAAACCGCTAGTTTTTGTTATATATCATGTAATAAAAATTTAATGTATATAGTTTACTAAAGATTTAGTTCATTTATTTTTTTAATCTATTTACAATATAGAATCCAGGGATAGTACATTATTATACTTATCAGTGCTTCCCCAGCCCGCTATAACGCCTTTGTTGCCCGTTTCCTCATAACGACTACTTCGGTTATTATAAAAGATAGGTTTTGGGATAAAATCACAACCCCTAATACGTCGGTCAAAGTTAAATTCATCTTCAACTTTCACAATAGCTATGTCATTGTTCATCCATCTTATGTTATCATTCTCGTGACCGTCGAAAACGTAATCTAAAAATAAGTGAATTTTGAGAAAAAATAAGGAAAAATGAAAATATATCTAATCTAATATATTTAAACGAGCAATTCTTGTATATATATATATATATATATATATATATATATATATATATAATCTGAATCTCGGAAACGGCTCCAACGATTTTCATGAAATTTAGTACGCAAGGGGTTTCGGGGACAATAATACGATCTAGATTAGTCTTATGCTGGGAAAATACGTGTTTTCGAATTTTCATGCGGTTTTCTTTTGCATTATTCCACGCAAAATATTATGTTCGATAATTTCGCACGCGCGGGCATAAGCGTCATGGTCCAGCGCAAGGCACAAGATTGAATAAGTGTCCGGGTTCGAATCCCGGTCGGATACAAAGGTATAATTTATTTTTGGTTTTTTTTTGTATTTATTCAAGTTTTTTTAAGAAAATTATACTTTTGACCAAAAACTCCGAGCGAAGCTCGGTGGCCCAGGTACTCTAAATATTAAATAAGTACATTGATTTACACTATATTTTTGTAATCTAAATATAAATACACAAAATTCATTTTATCATAGGACAGATATACAAACAGACACAAAACTTGTAAACTTCAATAATATAACAAAAACTCAGAAGTTTCACATAATCGTACAAACAATCGTAACAAATCGATGGGACATAGAAGAAAAGTGCCTTAAATATTGAAGTTATCAAAATTTTCTCAAACAAAACATTTCTTTTATTTTTAAAAATAATAATAAGCGCATTTATTTATTTTTAATCAAATAAAAATTCAAAAAAGGACACCGTCACTATTTTTTTTTTTAAATAAAGAAATGTTTTCTTTGAGTACCTAAATCTTGATAACTTCAATATTTAAGGTACTTTTCTTCCATTTCCCATCGATTTGTTCCACCCTGTATGCATGTAGATTTGAAAATCTAAAAGTCAGCAAAGCTTTATAATTAACAAATATGAACACTTACTACGGGGAATACACTTCCATACAGCCTTTTTAGCTCCATTCTTGATACAAATGTTGTTATAACGATCGTCTGCTTCATTATGTCTACAAGCGAGATAAATATCATTAAACTAGCTTTTCCCGTAGCTTCGCTCATATAGTCTACTAGCATGTCCCTCGGCTCCGCCCGCGTTTTTTAGATTTGATTTGAGTTACTCAAGCGCGGCAGATTAACAGGAGTGGAGATACCTTGCACTCTGTTGAGTACCTCCACAATAATATAAGTCCTCTATATAAGGGCGTGCGTCTAGATAATAAAACAAATATAACTTACTAGCATTGCCCGCGGCTCCACCCGCGTTCAGATGACCAAAAACCAAATTCTTAGGGTTTACATATTAGTATACACTTACATTGCAGTTTTTGTATTTTTTCTCAGGAATGAGACATTTTCCCGCTGGAAAAAGTATCCTATATGTTAACCTGGATAACCAGCTATCACCATACCTAATTTCATCAAATTCCTTCCATTGGTTATTCTGTGATGCGGTAACAGACAGACAGACAAAAAATCTAAAAACTATTGATTCGGCCTCTCTATCGATAATAATGTTTATTTCAACAAGATTTTCCAAAAAATATCTAATGTACAGGTTCGTTCGGCTTAGTTATAATTATATTATATGTAGGTATAGATAACCCATATGCATCTCTGGAATAATAAAGCTAGCTATAACAGAATTTATTAAAATTGGTTCAGTAGCTTCTGACCTTATCAACTACAAACAAACAAATCTTTTTTCTTTATAACATTAATATTATAATGTTAAATGAGGAATCCTTGTATAAACATTTATATATACATTTATTAGGTATCTCGGAAACGGCTTTAACGATTTGTATCTGTATTTAGATAAGGTTTTGCTTTTAAGTTTATCCACAGAGGTGTCTTTACTGATAAAACGCAATATTTATATCTTTCCCGAAAAAATAAGATTTTACAAAAAAAAGCTGAGCAAAGCTCGGCCGCCCGCGTGTAAATATTATACCTGTAAGTGCCAGAAACGACGTAAAAATGCTTCACATCTTCAATGCAAGCGGCAGAAGTAAGTATGTATTCTTCATGAATTATAACTCCCCCGCACAGCCATTGACGGTAGTCATTATATTTTGGATTCTTGGTTGGAAGCTTTAAATAAACCTATTAAAAGTTAAATTAAAATAAGTCAAGTATATGTTAAGGAATTTAAGAATAGATATGTTTATTTAGAATAAAATATAGGACTCAACGACAGATTTATCATTATTTTTCTTTTTGTATAAGCTGGCCTAGACTAAATTCTATCGTTTTGACATTTTTGGAAGATTTTTTGAATAATTCGACCAGAACTAACTACACAACCAATTATCGGTTTGAGTTTTTTCCATTTTTGTTGGACTAAACCTAGCTAGTACTAAAAACACTAAAGTTTCATCACAATCAGATGAATAGTTTAACGTCAAAATTATAATTTTAACATACGCAGAAGACGATAAAACAAAACATTCCTTTTTTTGTCAGATTTTCAGTTATAAAAAATACCTCCTTATTTATTAATGCTCTATTTATGTGGATGTTCATTAGAATTTTTATTTTTAAAACTAAATTATTAAACAATCAGTTTTCAATATGCATCTTCTAATATATTATAAATATTCTCTTAAGCTGTAAGCTTATTTTATATTAGACGACCACACGTTTGGCTCAGTTTGTAGTGACCTTACTTCCTGTGCCAGCAGTCGCGGGTTCGAATCCCGCTGGGGGCATTCATTTGTGTGATGAGCACGAACGTTTGTACTCCAACTTTGTTAATATTTATAATATGTATCTAATTAAAGTTATATATGTGTAGCGTATCAATTATCTGGTATCCATAACACAGGCCTCGTAACTTACCATGTAACTAGATGGTGCTGTGAGCTAATGTCCCAACATATTTATTATTATATATTTACTAATATTTACTTTACCATATAAGGCCTACTGCTACGAGATTCTTCGCCATTAATAATTCTTCTAGAATTATTTAAATGTCCTTCAACTTTGCTCATGTTCGTTTTATGGAGGACGTCCATTATGTTTAAAGGCAATGTCGTTTTTACCCCCATTGACTGTACGTCTGCAACATTTTTAACTTTTTCTTACAAAAAATCTTCTGACTACGGTACTTTAACACTACTTTAGTAATAAGGCCTACTCTCTTTTTTTGTGTTAGTTTTGTTGTTTTATTTTTATGGTGTACGATAAAAATATTTGTTTTGATTTTAAATCCATCTCAGTATTATATAAAAAAACCTTAATATGAAATAAAACAGCACGCCTTTACATCTTCCACTGATACAAGATATTTGTTTAAAAAAATAATAGAATTAAAAAATATCCACCTTTGAAATTTTCTATCACCTATGACCTAAGTATGTATACCTTCTAGATTCTAACTATGAAATCATGAAAATCATTTAGTATAACAGGTTCCAATTAAATACCTTCGTCTTATTTGAAGTCAATAAGAAATTATTTTTGTCTCTTATTCAATAATTTACCCATCTTTACATATAAAATGCCGTTGTGCGTGTGTTTGTAAATGTTCTCCTTCTAAATAGCTTAACCGATTTTGATGATATTTTTATTGTGACACCTAAATGGTTCTTACTTCTTAGCTATAGTTGGACCCGGGAAGCGGTAACTGTTGTCGAGAGATTCAGGTTTTTATGTAATTTTCTGGCAGGCCATCGTTAGAATCTATACTAATACTAGCAGGCCACACATATGAAAATCGTTAATTTTGCAATATAAAAAGAGAATAATTGAGACAAAAACTATCTTATCTATTAAATTGGAGGAAATCACACATTTAAAAAAAATACGTTAAAATCGGACAAGTAGTTTCGGAGTTCATCGCATCCAACATTGTGACACGGGAACTTTATATTTTGAGATTAATGTTAAAGAAACTCTGTCTGTGTCTCTTAAGCTGCTGAATAGATTTCGATAAAATTTGACAAGAATATACTACATTCTAGGATCGGACCCCTTGATCCCCGCTTATCACGTGCAATGCCGCGGGCAAAAACTATACATCTAAAATATGCTTAAACATGTATTCAGCCCTTTGTGACGTCCCACTGCTGGGCACGGGCCTCCCTTTAATACGAGGGGAATCAGGCCTTAGTCCACCACGCTGGCCAAGTGCTGGTTGGCGGACTTCACATGTCTTTCGAAAACTTTCAAGGTTTTCTCAGACATGCAGGTTTCTTCACGATGTTTTCCTTCACCGTAAGATAAGTGGTAATCATGTTGAAAATGATTCGCACATAAAAATATCAGAGTTGCGAGACCTTGCGGGATTTGAACCCGCTTCACTCGGTTTTGCAAGCGAAAGCATTACCACTGGGCTACCACTGCCTTAAATATATTATAGAATATAAAATATTAGAAAATATATTCATACCTACCAATTAGTAAACACATTGATGTGACAAAAATTAAATAGCACTCGAGTCTCTCCAAGCTGTGCAGACTTATCCTCATATTTTTAGAAATAATGTAGGTAATTCTATTTTTGTGTTTAAAATGCTGTTTTATTTTGTCATGGTTTCTAACTCTTTATTACTTTCGATACGAAGTTAAAATTGATTTTATCGATTGTTTTTATGCTTTTAGTGTTTTACACATTAAAGTAAACATTAATTATATGTATGTATCTTTTATATAGAGAAAGAAAGTTATTTTTTTGTATATCTTACTAATATTATAAACGCGAAAGTTTGTTAGAATGTACGTGTGGATGGTAGGATGATGTTTGTTACTCTTTCAGGCCAGAGCGGCTGAACAGATCTGGATGAAATTTGGCCGAGATAGATTATAATCTGGAATAACACATAGGCTACTTTTTATCCCGGAAAAATGTACCCGAGTGGAGAGTTCCCGAGGGATAGATTTGTTTTTGTTTTTCCTTCTGTGAGGCGCTAGTTAATAATAATTTTGGATGTGTTTCAGTCGATTTTTTTTAATTTATGTAAAGAAATTAACCGGACGAATACGAATTGATATATAGAAGCATATAGTCTTTGCACTAAGCTAAGGTTAGACGGACCTAAGGCTTTATTTTTTTAAATCATATTATAAATACTGATTATCTTTTTTACACATATTTAATGAAATTAGGTAAAGTAATAGCTATAAAATAAAGCTACAGTCTACCCTGAAATTATTAACATTGGAAATACTTCTTACAAAATGATAACTGCTACATTCGACAATGGACCAAGGAAAGAGGGTTTCAGATTTGTTCGGGCGAGCTCTAAACAAAAAGAAGAAACAGGAAAATCCCTAAATAAATATATGTAAATAGGAAATATCAAATAGCATAGAATAAAACGTTATAAAATAAAAGTAAAAAACTATTTTTTCGCGGTATTATTTCACTTTTTATCCTTGACACTTTGAATGCTTTTTGAATTTTGAATATTGTCATGGCAGAGACCAAATCCGCAAAAAAAAAAACAGTTTTATTTAAAACGCAATATACAAGGAGGGTATTACGGTTAAATAAAGCAAGGGTTATTTTTTTCAGTACTTATTTATTAAATTTACTTTGTAGAACCAACGGTCGTTTCTTTGTACTGTTGACTCTTCTCCTCAGCACGAATTTGTTTTGAGATTTTGACTCCTGCTTTTCATATCTAAAATTATGTTTATAACTAGGTAAATATTAAACGAATTGATACATGTGCTTATATTTAAAAAAAGAAACCTTTTTTTTCCAATTTCGGATATCACTCGAATTCTTCGAACAATTTACATCGCGAGGTTGTTATTTAACAAACATACACACAATCACTCGCCTTAATCATATTGTTATAATTCATTAAGAAAGGCACATTTTAATGTAGCTCCAACAAATGAGATATTTTGCCTGATCAGGTATGTGTTATACCTATATTAAATCATCTTTAAATACAGTTTATTCCAAAATAATTACTTCATTATAATTTCAATATATATATCAATACTAATATTATAAATGTGAAAGTGTGTTTGTTTGTCCTTCTTTCCTTCTTCACGTCGAATCGGAGAGACGGATTGGCGTGATTTTTTGTGTGGGGATAGTTGGAGGGCTGGAAAGTGACATGGCTACTTTATACCGCGGCAAATTATCTAATTCCCATAGGAAAACACGTTATAATACAATCAAAAAAAATATTTATGACCAGAATTACTTGAAACTTGGTATTATGTATCTGTCACTCTGTTTTGACGTGAAAGAGAGACAAACAAACTTTCACAAACAAACCCACAAACACACCTTCACACTTATAATATTAGTATGGATATATATGTATTATAACACAACAACAATAAAAACTATAAATTAGATAACAATATACATTTACATTTGAAATAAAAATTAACATATAATTAATTGATTAATTTAAAATTTATTTATTTATTTATTTCAAATCTAATCAAAAATTCAAATTTTGTGGTTGAGATCCCCTTTTAAGCAAATAATTTGCCTGTATTAGGAGACCCCGCCCTTTCATAAAAAAGTAATTTTATCTTTTAGCTGATTATAATATTATGGGTGATACTACAAACTTAAATAGATCAATTAAGACAAACAAAAAAATAAAAAATAAAAATAAAAATTAGCGTACATATGTTTGTTTGTGTATTGTGTGTGAGTGTGCGTGTGTGTATGTGCGTGCGCGTGTGTGTGTGTGCGTGTGTGTGTGTGTGTGTGTGTGTGTGTGTGTGTGTGTGTGTGTGTGTGTGTGTGTGTGTGTGTCCGTGTGTGTGTGTGTGTCCGTGTGTGTGTGTGCGCATGTATGGATGTATCTCACCTTTTATTATTAGACCATTCGTAATTAGTCTCAACTAATCGCTTCTTTCCAGAGCGCAATAGTCTTCTGCACGTAGTTCTGCGAAAAAATAGTAAAAATGCGTTAATTTTGATTTCATAATTTGAAATGCAGCTCGTCAAGAAGAAAGTTTAAATAAAAAGAAAAATAATTCATATACTTTAAAACAGATTTCATATTTATTTATATAATTCATCTCTACAAAGTAATTATCGTCGTTGAATAACAACATATTCACGATTTCATACCAAATAATCAAGTGAAAGCTGTTTTTCTTGAAAATTTTGTATTTTTACAGTATTTTATAAAAAAATGACATAATTATATGAAATTCTATATTTTAGTCGCGAGAGTTAATGTGGGCTAAGGTAAATTAATAAATATTTGGAATTAATAACCATCACCTTATAATTTTTCCAACATTCCCCTCGACTCATCTAAATCAATCAAATGAAATTTTTATTTGTTTATTATGAGATCAGTTCAATAATTTCAAGAAAAACAAATTTCATACACTTTCAAATCCATAAGATACTTAGAAGTAAGTTAAAATATAATAAAACGATTTTTCCTTTACGCCATTACGTTAAAACTATTGAACATATTGGTATGGAACTTTGACCAATCGACGCGGGATTGTCTGTAGATGGGTTTAGACATTACACTATTTTTTTATTCGTTTGTTATTTATATTTAACCTAAATATATGAAGATCTCTGAACTCTGAAGACCAAAAGAAACATTTACGTAAGCCCAGAAAAGCTATAGCTAGTTCGTTATTTATTATGAAGCTATTGTATTAAAAACGTATTAAAACAGCACAAAATAGAATAACATGCCAGAAGATTAGTAGAATAAAAGCTTAAATAAGCTATAATAGAATAAAATGTAAAAAAATATTACTCCTTATCCTTATTAATCGCACAGTTAATAACATGTCGGTTTTTCCACACGCTAGTATACAGGAAAGGTCCGTAACACTTTTGGGTGATGTTAGTTGTCATACAAGCTGATATAACGCCGATAACGATTGCACCTCTCCCATGGCCTGAGATTAGAGGTCCACCGTGGTCATTCTACAATGTAATTACACTGTTATATAAATAAGAGTTCCGAAGTAAAATTTCTTTAGAATCGCTGTGATTTGAAACTCGATGAAACGAAAATGCGACACTAAACAGAGACAAACACATAAATATATAGGATTAAGCCGGCGAGAGAATGAGATAGAATACATTGCCATGTTGCCATGGTAACCGCTGTTGTTGTCTGACAGATATAATATAATATTATATTCTTTCTGTATATGATATTCTGTAAATATATGATTCTAATATGCTTATAAAATAATATGCCTTATTTAATTATTTGAGATGGAATACATTACACAGGAAGTAAAGAATAATAAAATTAATTACTAAATAATATGTAATGTATATTTATGTCAAATAAAATGTAAAATAACTTTAAAACATGGTAAAAATATTATAAAAAAATAAACCTTATAATTATTCTACTTCCGATACTCTATATTAATCTCATTCTCTCGTAGGTTACTTTTCTGAAGTTTCACTTCTACCAAGTGTGAATTGCACTCACGCGCACTTTTTTTATGTGTGTTTGATTGTTACTCCTTCATGCTGAAACGGCTGGACGGATTTGGATGAAATTTAATACACAGATGGATTATGAGCTGGATAAAAAATAGGTTAGCGAGTTGAGTGCTAGTAATAATACTAGCACTCTATATATCACTATTATAAAATAGAATGACGACGACAAATTTTGACGACACGTATGGCTGTTTGTGTGACACTACTTGCTGTGCCAGCAGTCGTGAGTTCGAGTACCGCTGGGGGCATTCATTTGCGCGTATATACCTATTTAAAGTTATATATGTGTAGCGTATCAACTATCTGATAACAATAACATACGCGTTGTAGCTTACCATGGAATTAGATGATGCTGTGTGTTAATGTCCCAACATATTTATATTTTTTTTAATGTAATTATTATACCTCACAAAATCCACCAGATACGGGCTTATATCTGCGCGTGCTGTTGAAATGTCTCGCCGAATGTACGTGCTGTTCACCTTCTACAACGAATCTTCTACCTTTACGGGGTTCCTCTTCATTTGAATACTCGAGCTCTTTACAATTTATCTCTTGTTCCTTTTTAATTTATTTAAAAAACGTAATGAGCTACTTACATATGTACGTATGTATATCTGTTACTTGTGTAAAGATAGCTTTATTATATATGAAATGAGGTAGTTTAAATTTTCTATAAATTCTATTTGTTAAGATGCTTTTTTAAAAATTTGTTGTTGATAGAGGACTATTATAGTTTTACAAAATATAATAAAATAATAGGCAAAAAATATACCGACATCAAAATAACGTTAAAACTCGTATAAGTTGTTATACCAATAATTATTAATTGTTGTTAGAATAATTATAATATAATAAAACGTAATATCGCCTTTTTCGAAGATGATAGAACACACCTCGTTCTTTTATTTCCAAATAACTGAATTTCAATATTTAATATTGAAAATTACATAATAAGTTACTCTGAGGAGAACTCTAAACAGGAAATAAATGTTTTTCTTTAAATCAAAATCAAACGTACATTACAATGTACCTAATAGTAAATTATTTATAGTATAATCTTTATTATTTGGTACCATATAGCATTTTTTTTCTGAGTAGTAATAACCGACTTCCAGAAAGGAGGAGGCTCTCAATTCGTCGGAATCTTTTTTTTATGTATGTTCACCAATTACTCGAATGTTGAAATTGTTTTTGTTTCAAAAGCCGACAATATTTTAAGATATGAATATACTCGTATGATAGGTAAATATGTATTTTATGTATCGAAATATATTAGATTTGCTTTGCATCGGCTGGCACCGACTTCGAAAATATCTGATTAGATATCTATTCTAAATGAAAACCTCTGTTTAGTTATTTTTTAACATTTTAGTGCCTGGAAGTCGGTTTTTATTTTATGTTAAAAAGTTTTTATATGGTTACTTTAAAATATTTGTTTAATATACTCGTATTTAAAAAAAATATAACCGTGTAACCTAAGAACTATGTAAGTGTATTTACCCTACATATATCTCTCATGGAGTCGGTATCGAAGCCGTCCTTAGCGCATATCATGTTTTTATCGATGATGTAGTGGTATCGCTCCGGCCACCGATCTTTGCATTTAGTCTTAGATATCAATATAACATCGGTTTCTAAAAGGTCTGGAGAGTTTGTCGTTCTACCGTACATCTAAAAATGAATTTATATTAGGTATTATCTACACTATAATATAAAGAGGTAAAGTTTGTGAGCTTGTGACGTTGTAAGGGGTAATCTCTGGATCTACTAAACCGATTTAGATGAAATTTGGTAAATAGATAGTTTGAGACCCTGGAAAGGCCATAGGGTACTTTTATCCGGGAGATCATCTCTTAAGGGGGTGAAAATGGGAATGAAAGTTTGTCGTGGGAAGCAAGCTAGGGACGAACTTGAGCGAAACGAGGTTGAGTCGCTAGTTGAATATATGTATGTATGTAAAATACTAATATTTGATGTAGTTAGTAGCTAACATGTACGGCAACAGATACTGAAATATTGAGTTCGAATTTCGAGCTGGAAAAGGGAAATGAATACCTCTGTTGTGCGTCTGATTTGTAACCGGTCGTATCGAATTATATACTACTAGTGACTCACCCTCGCTTCGCTAAGTTTGCCCCTAGATACGTTTTAATTTTTTTGTGCGGAACCCTAATTCTATTTCTAAAATAAAAGTACCTAGCCTATGTTACTCCCTATAACATCAGCTATCTTCCAGTGAAATTCCCGTCAAAATCAGTCCAGCCGTTTCAGAGATTATCCGGAACAAAGAGACAGACAGACAAAAATTTCATTTTTTTTTTATTAATAATAGTGAACCAAAAATCTATACCTTGTAGAAATTTTCAGCGTTATGCCAATTACTTAATTAATTTTTAGGTGCATTTTGCCTCTACTGTATTAACTACTGAAATACTTACTGAATTAAAGTTATTCGTAGAACCCCATCCAGCAATAGAAGCGACTGTGCCAGGTGACTCTAGATCTTCAGATTGATCGTTGTACGCTATCAAAGCGGATTTGAAGTCACAGCCGTGCACACGATGTTCGAAGTCAAATTTACTGTCTACTTTTACAATTGCTATATCATTTTCCATCCAGCGTATGTTGTTAAATGCTTTCCCGTCAAATACGTAATCTTTAAAAGAAAAAGTTTATATACTTTATTCTTGGCTTGTGTGTTTATATACATAGGTACATATAATAAAATTCTAACGTAGTTGAATATGCGCATTAAATATTTTTTGGAAAATCTTATTGAAATTGGTATTATTATCGATACGGAGGCCGTATCTATAGTTGTTAGAATTTTGGTCTGTTTGTCTGTCTGGGAACGCATCACGAGAAAACCACTAGATAAATTTTGATGAAATTTGGTGTGATGATAGCGGGTCAACATACTTTTTACTGCAGGAAAATATATCGTCTCTGAGTAATCTATACTAAACGTTAAAATGTAACGAGTGTATGTAAGACCCTAATTGTCAGGTACGTGAATTGCAACATTATTCTAGTAAATAGTTTTAACGACTGCCAATTTAGTTCTATGCGTTCGTTTTTAACTTCCTTTTTTGTGTATAAACAGTACTTAAAAGAAGTAACTTGGCGTTTCCCGGAAAATATACAAAAATTGCGTTTTTTTCAGGAAAGACACTTTTATAGATAAACTTAAAAAGCAAAATCTTATCTAAATAAAAAAAATTACAAATCGTTAGAGCCGTTTTCGAGATACCTACCTACACAAAATTTATCTACATATATATTCAAAATACATATTTATCTTTTATTTTTAATTTTGTTGTCTATACAAAATAGGTATATTGATATAGGTATACCTATTTTGTTCAATTCAATACACTTTCATAAAATTTTATATTAGATATGAAATATTTAAATTAGTTTATTTAATGTAATAAATATTAACTGTACAATTTATTTTACACTTAAGAACAGTTACCTTTAGGCACACATTTCCAAACTGCTCTCTTGGCACCATTTTTAATACAACCATCTTCGCTGCCAATAGGTAGCCATCTATAATGATGATGATTAAAAAAGTAATTTTTCTTTATTGATTTTCTCAGAAATTTATTATAATATAAAAAATATTCCTAGATATATCTATGTATTATTATTATTAAAACAGTATCTGTACCCGCCATAGAATACAATCGCACTATAGAATAGTTTTAAAACAATATTGATAATATACATACGTGCGTATATCTGTTACTACATACTTGTGTAAAGATAGCTTTATAGTATATGAAAAAAGGTAGTTCCTATTTTCTATAAATTCTATATACCCAGATGCTTTTTTTTAAATTTGTTCGTGATAGTGGGATATTTTAACTAAACAAAATAAGTATATATGGCTAATACAAATTAGAAATCAGTACGAGTTGAACCCATAAACTCCGACGATGAGGCAGCTGACGGTACATCTAACAACTTATTGAAGATTGTCTAACACTGTTATAATTCCCTAGTGTATTGAAGTGAATTTTTTTATTAATTTAAAAGATAATTGTTCAACCCTTAGGAATGAATTGAGATATAAGCTATTATTCTTTATAAAATAATTAACGAATGGGTTCACAATAATTTAGCGAAGATATCGCGTAACATACATACATACTTGTAGAAAATAACATACACTCGAATTGAGCCCTTTTTTAACCCCCGACGCAAAAAGAGGGGTGTTATAAGTTTGACGTCAATGTCTGTCTGTGTGTGTGTGTCTGTCTATGGCTTTGTAGCTCCCAAATGAATGGACCGATTTCGATGCGGTTTTTTTTTTCTTTTGAAAGCCAGTTTCCTTGCGGTGGTCCTTAGCTATGTTTGGTTGATATCGGTCCAGCAGTGTAAGAGTATCAGTTCTTTTTCAAAATGATGTAAGCCGTTTTGGCGTATGGTTACTCGATTAAATACTTCACGCGTGCCAGTGTAATCGTTAAATGACAATTTATTTGCGATGGAGCTTTTTAAAATTTTTAATTTATAATTATTGAATTCGATTAATAAAATATTATTATTCAACAACTTAAATATGTAGTAAAAAAAAGAAAGTTATCACCATATCACCTATGTGTCCCAGAGATCACGTAAAATCGCTGCACGTCCTCTATACATGCTGCTGATGTCAGAATATACTGTGCGTGTATTATAACTCCACCACATAACCAATTAGGTTCCTTCAAATCTGTACTTTGTACTGGACGCAGATAGACCTTGTGGTTTTAAAATTTAAAAACATACTATAAATTAAATATACTCGTACTATAATTTATTGATTGTAACGAAGTGTATTTTTTGCATGTCCATAGCATGATGTGGCAGATATTGCATAATGGTTACCGATAGGATAAGCAAACATATACAGGGTCATTTTTAATTTACTGAAAACAATTTGGGAATATACTATTTACATCATAACAACAACATCTGTAACAAGAAAAAATAATATTACTTAAATTTTTATTTTCATACAAAAATAAAAATATTTTTATTGCACCTTCTAAACGTTAGAGTTCTAGCATCTGGTCAAGTTTAAAGGAGTAACCACCGACTCCTACACCCCTCCACCTCTCACCCTCCACCGGTCACGCGCTTTCTTTTACTAATGCTGGACTTACCGTTTAGAAGGTGCAATAAAAATATTTTTATTTTCGTAAAATTTAAGAAATATTATTTTTTCATGTTGCAGATGTTGTTGTTATGATGTAAATAGTATATTCCCAAAATGTTTTCAGTGAATTATATTAAGAATGACCCTGTATATTATGTAAAAAACTTGCAAAACGTCATAGGCGAAAATACCTAAGCGAAGCGAGTCTAACTAGTACTTTGCTTATTCGAAATTCGAATCTCTAATACTTTGGTAAGATTTCAATCGGCGCGGTTTTAATTAGGATAAATAATATAGGTTTTTTTTATTTTACTAATTGATGAATATATATATTTTCTGTAAGATAATCTCTAAAAGTACTGTTGGAGCGATTTTGAAAAAACCTCTAGTTTACAGAAAACCATCAATCAAAAAAGTACTAGATAACACAATCCCATGCAAAAGTTCTCTTAAAACTGCCACCAATTGTGTTTAGGTAATTATTCTAGTTAAAATACATATACACCCATGTAAATTGAACCTTAACCCATGTAAATTGAAAATTAAAAGCGCGCTCAAATGTTCAAATGAGCGCTCATTCGGTGAGGACATTTTTTGTCACTGAATGTGTATCTAGTACTTTTTGATCGATGACAATAAAAAAGGTTTTACTGAAGCTTTTTAAATTTAAAACTTACCATGTAAGGTCTAGTTTCACCGGCTTCATTACCTCTTAAGATTCTTCTAGTTTTGTTTAATAACGTCCTTTGTTCTGTGTTTATGGTTTTATTACAATCTAAACATAAATATTGCCTTTGAATAAATAATTATGAATGATTGTAATAAAAAAATATTATCATCGCGAGGATTGTACTCAGTTTGATAATTTGATATGAATTTAGTACCATATTAGTTTTCAATTGATAGTTTTTTTTTTAGTTTTTGTCATTTGCGTACTGTTATATCCCTTTTTACAAGGCAGTTAAATCTTAGTAAGCATTTATTTAATTAAAAGTATTTTTCCTTTACATTAACCTTTGTCAGCAATATCATTGTTCCTTTTTCAACTTTAATTCTAATTTTATTTTAAAAGTTAGTTAGACTCAGAGCCCCGGATAGATCGGACATAGATTCCGAGACGCGTTAAAGTTCGGAAGTCTAGAATTTATAAAAAGTTTGTGTGTGAACTTTATAATAAACTTTTAGGTTTATTTTGTGTTTTTTTTTAAAAAGACTAACGGGATCGGCCTCCTAACAGTACGCATGGGCGTTGATCAAACATACCTACTATAATAGATATAAATGAAGAGACAGAGCTTTTTAATAAATCAAATATAAGAAGCTTCTCAGTAGCTTTTTTCATTAACAACTTCCTTGCATCTCACGGGAAATACCTACTTTATGTATCGAAATAAGAAACATAAAAAGCTTATGTCAAGTTCTAGCTCATAATCTTTCTCTAGGCAAAACTTAATTATAAACAACATATGTACTAACAAACATGATTCTGCGATTGTATTATTAGTAACTACCGACTCACTTTCTCTTTGCTCGGGTTCGGGAATAGATAGACTATAATGTATACATAGGTATGATGTGTTTTATACACCTTACTTGAGAAATGATTGATTCCCCATACAAACTTCCATCACCTTTTTCATCCCCTGAAGGGTTGATTTTCGGGATAAAAACTATCCTACTTAGTATATGAAATTATCTAATATATAAAATTTCCATGTCACTATGTTAGTTACCGTACTCCTCCGAAAAGGCTTTACCGATTTTTACCAAATTTTATATGCGTATTCAGTAGGTCTGAGAATCGGCTACTATCTATTTTCCATACCCCTAAGTGATAAAGATAAGGGTGGTCCACCCAGAGCCCACCCCAGAGACGAACCCGAGCGGAGCGAGGGTGAGTCGCTAGTCTCTATATAAAATTTCATCAAAATCGGTTCAGCGGATTAAGCGTGAAAAGGTAACAAACAGACAGACAGACAGATAAACAGAGTTAATTTCGTATTTATAATATTAGTATGGATTAGTTACAACATCAAATATTAATCTAACTTACCTCCCTCGTGTATAAATAAAGAAATAATTATAAATACAAAATGCATGCTTCTTGCGTTTATCGTAAAAAATATTACGCATAGAAAATTACGGAGAGCAAATTCATTTCATGCCTCATCTCGTTTTATTATTTACGTATTATAGGAAAAGTTAAATTTTACATTCACTTTTAAAAAGTGAATATAAGTGACGATAAAAATTTAAAATGCATCAAAAATTTATGTAAAATCATCTGCTTCTTCACATAAAACTACATACTAACTAATCTTAAAATGATTAACATTATAATTTTCACATATATATTTAGGTATCATATTTATAAGTATCATATTTAACATACATCTAAATTTAAACAGGGATTTTAGGTACTGAGAACATTTTATTGCTTTTATTTTTTCTATATTTTGTGCTTTATGGCAAAGGAGTGCAAGTGCACCTCCTTGCACTTCCCGCCGGCGCCCTTAGTTTCACTATTCAGATCACAGCAAAATAAACATGATGATGATGATGATGTTCTCCTGACCGATTCCGGCCACGGCGGCCAATCTCATTGAGACTAGCCAACTGCGCAGGAGATATTATAGTGCACAAGTGTACGCGCAGACAAAAGTGCACTCTCTATTCCTGGCACTCCCATACTCTGGTGGGACGACCACTCGACACGACCAGTGAGAGTTAAGGCGCAGGACCGACGGCTTTACGTGCTCTCCGAGGCACGGGGGTGCAACACCGCCAACTTCCCAACTCCGGGCTGTTACTGAGGCTTACTATACAGAAAGACTCAATAACTAATCTTGGCCCGACCTGGGACTCGAACCCAGGACCTCCGGGTGTGTAGCCGTACATGCTAGCCACTACACCACCGAGGCAGAAAGTAAACATATAGGTACCAATAGCAATATAAATAATATAGCCAATATAAATATTTGTCACGAACAAGGCTTGGTTACTGCGTCCGATGTAAAGACAGATATTACGGATAATGGTATCATAATTTGGGTAGCAAAATTAAAAAAAAACTCTGAACTACACAATATCATTATCTGCTAGTTGAACCACTATGCGCTATAAAAAAATCCAGTAAGAATTTTATCTATATAACGCTAGATGGCGTAAAAACTTGATTTGCTATTCAACACTAGATGTCACTGTAATAATTTTAATAAGTCTATCTAAATAAAAATGCTTCTCGTTGATATAAGCCAAGCGTATCCCTTAAGAGTTAAGAACGGCTGGTCCGATTTGGATCATTTTCTTTTAAAATGTTTAAATAATCTGAAAAAGGTTTTTAAGGGCGAGAAATATTGGGAGAGTTAGACAGACAAAAGGAAAACTAAAAATGGTTTCTTCTGTACGATTTTTGTATGAAGGTAAGACATCGCAAACAAATCTATACATATAAAAACATTCGAATCTGTACATAAATTTTTTTTTGAAAATTTTATTGAAATATAATCATCTGGGACCACTTCACGAGAAAACCACTGGACAGATTTTGCTGAAATTTGGTATGATTATAGCTGGTTATCCGTCAATATATAAATTACTTTTTTCTTATCATCATCTCTGAGCTAAACGTTAAAACGTAGCTAGGGACAAAACCGAGCGGAGCGAGGGTGAGTCGCTAGTTAATCTACATTTGGACAGAACAGCTATTATGTAATAACTTAAGATTACATATGCTATCGTATCGGTAATTATAACAAATCTCGACAAAAAATAGTTTTAAATACCTATAATAAACATTTATAACGAATATGATCTTTAATATTTTAATACAATGGGTAAGATTTGTGCTAAGGAGGGCGCCACACGTATTGCCTATTTACATTCAGTTTGAGGTTAAGCAATTTATATATTTATGATATTTCTTGTATAGCTGGCTTTTTTGCTTTTATTGTGTTCGCATCTTACCTGTGCAATGTACTGTATCTGGAAGTTAGACCAGCTGAAGGAAGAATTGAGAAGGAGATGTGCGTCCTGCGATGGTCCTGACTGACTGATGGATCAACACACAGCATAAACCGCTGGTCGTATAAATATGAATATTTGAAGGACGTATTTCTTATATAATACAAACATCCGATAAAAAAGGTTTTCGAAATTTATCCCTAAATGGGTAAAATAGGGGATTAAAGATTATATGAAACTCTGTCATTCTTAATGTGTAATACACAGAAAGTGGTGTTTAGCTTTAAGATAAAAAAGAAACATATTTATTCGATTTTTTTGAAATTCATCCCTTAAAGGGGTAAAAGGGGGTGATAAAGTATGTATGGGAAAAGAATTATTTATGATCAGAATCACGTTAAACTTGGTTTTAATGGTCTTCAATACAATTAAATAAATAAGTATTTTAGCATTTTTCAAAATTCAATCTCATATAGGGGTAAAATGGGGGATAAAAGTTTGTATGAAACTCTGTAATTATGTAAAAAAATACAAAAAATATAAAAAAATATATTCGTCTGTAGACGATTTAAAAATTTTATAATCACTTATTTTAAAACGATGTACACATAGACTTAAATATGAAGATTATAATTTCGCCAATTTTGGTCCTCTTATTGCCTTAGCCCATAATTTCTTCAGTTTTTGTTTTTTGGGAACAAATGATATTCATTTCCTTTGTATCCTGGCACTATAAAATTTCTCATTTTAAATAAAATGAAAAAAAGTTTATCCACGCTAAACAGTTTTACAATATACTAAGGGCTACAGTGATCGCGACATCTGGCGGGAGAAAAAAGCAAAATTCTTCCCCCATTGCCATGACATTCTGTAATTTTCACCCTGAAAACTTGTTTTGTCAAAATAAACTAAGGAAAATTACTTATAAGTTATATAATTTATAAAATAAAAAAAAACTTTTTTCTGGGCCAATCACCGTCATCTTTCTTATTCAATCTGTTCTGTAAGCTTTTTTAAAGCGCAGATCAACTTTAATGTTTGCAGAATATATAGAAATTTAGAATTTTCTCGTTTCAAAGATTTTGGAATTGGGATATCACCTCACTAGTGAATCGGACTACTATTATAAATGCAAAAATTTGTATATTTGTAGGTTTGTTACTCCTTCACACTGCTGGGATTTGGGATGGCATTGACTAACACAAATAGCGCTGTTGTTAAGCATCCAGGGACGCACAAGCAAAACGAGGATTTCATATGGTAGAAAGACATCTAAATAAAATGTATAAAATATAATTAATAATAAATACTTTGTAAGTAGGTACTAGTATTTCATTATACATACATTTATAAATATTGAAGTTTGTTACTCTTTCTCGCAAAAACCACTGAATGGATTTTAATGAAGCCTTACAATAATATAGCTCATACATCAGAATAACACATAGGCAACTTTTTATCCCGGAAAAACGTTCCCGTGGGATAGATTTATTTAATTATTTTTAGTCATAAAAAGTTTTAAACTATAGGGACATTTTATTAATAATTTCTATACCAAAAAGAAAAAAGAAAAATATAGGTAGTAAGTAACTATAAAACGAAGGAGTTTAAAAACTTTTCGTAAAGCCATAACGTTATGTTAGCTCTATCTTTATAGGTACTTAAAGAAGTTTATTAAGTACCTACTCGGGTTGATAAATATATCGTGTTAAATTAAATTATCTACCGGTTTTATATTATAGTTATATCATATAGAAGAATCAATGTATTAAATGATGAATGAATATAAATACTAAAGCACGCTTGATGACCTTCTTGATCTTTTAGCTCTAGCCAACCTAGCACTTACTCTGTGTCGGCGACTATAGTTTTCATTTTGGTTTACATATTTTATTTTTCTACTAAATTTTTACCATACCATAATAATGAGTACATTTTTTGAATTTAATAAAAAAAAATTAAAAAAAATGGTAGTTGATTAGATATTTTTTATTAAAATGTTTAACGTTAGATGTCTATTAGAAAGCTATATGGTTTAGGTAAATAATCCATGAATGATTCTGATTATATGTTGTCAAAATTAATTATTAACAACCTAAGAAATAAAAGTTACTTTCAGTAAATGACTAAACGAGCCTATATATTATAAATTTTATCAACATGTGTATATTTTTAATTTCCTTACAATATTTAATAGGAGTTAATGGCTAAATCAATTAAATTTACAGCATACAGACCTTCTAAATAAATTAAACTAACATTTTATATAGAAACCATATGAATAATTCATTTGCAATTCAAACTCACGTAACAATTATTGTAAAAGCAATACCATTCTTGTTTATCATCCAATCCATAACACCCTTTACCACTCCAGCTGTCCGAACCAATACAATAAACAAGCTATCTTCAGCCATGCATTATACTTATCTATGACCGGGTATTTTATTATAAAGTGCATTGTCTATGGACTTCGGTCGACCGAACGTAAATAATTTAACTGTCTTAAAAGATTCAAAAATAGTTCCTAACATTGCCCCCCCTTAATATGTACACCATTTGTCAGTCCATAACTGGATTTAAACGCTACAATATGATGAGGTCCGCCCCTCGACAAAAATATAGTCGTCTCTCTGTAATGTATGCGATATACGAGGTAGAGAATACAGAGGTCTCGTTCTCACAATAGATCCTTCATGTGTTTACGTCGTTTTGAATTTGGGAATAAAACAGTAACTATAAGTATTTAACAAATATATTTAAACTCTATTACAAAGAATGTAAAGTTCAGTTTTTATTGTAAATAGCTATTATGGGGGAAGCGTAGAAGCGGGACGGTGTTAGAAAGAGACAGAGCACCCATTCTGTTAAAGTTAGTGAGTCCAAACGAGTTTTTATGTTTGGAAATCGTATTAAGCTTTTGTCGGAAACTGTTCCACTCAACATAGTTGAGGCGTTTGTGCGGTCAAACTATCACGTCGGAGGGGCGGCTGATTGGCTTTCCTATATTGTCTGTTGATTCGGTCGTGTGTGGACGGGAGCGCGGGAACTTTGTACAGATTAATAAGTGTTTGATTTTTTAATATGACTCTTTTTCAGTGCTAGAGTGTTAGTGTTTTGAGACAATATGTCGTCAGTACATTCGGATGACGATCAAGAGGAGATAAATGTGGACTCTGACAGTAGGTTATCAGGTCAATATGATAGAAGCATTGCTTCCGAAGATCGAGATTCTGAACATAGTTTTAATGATAGATATAGGGATTCCCCCAACGATCACATGACTGATACCCAACAACGAGTGAATTTGCCATTCAGTATATCGAGGTTGTTAGGTAAACAGTTCGAGGATATAGATAAACGTAGAAATTCTAGGGAGAGTGACGATAGAAGTGACCAGGACACTGAGTCAGAGAGTGCTAAGGACGATGCAAAGGAGACTGGGTTGCCTTTAAATTTTTCTCATAATCCAGGACTTTATCCTAACTCTAGTTTGTTGTTAAGACCGGGACTTAGTTTAGGTGGCGGCTATGGGTTTCCGACTAATCCAGGGGTTGTGAGAGTGCCAGCTCATAGGGCACTTGGTGCTTTGGGCGCATGGGGAGTAGCCTTAGATCCCATGAGGCAAGCAGCAGCCGCAGCCTTCGCGCATCAAGTTGTGAAAGACAGATTAAACGGTAAGTACAAAGATTATTAAAGTTGAGAAGGTATACATGTACCTTTATATGTATATCATATATTGTAAATTTTGTTCATTCAACTAATTCCGAGTAAATGACCAACTCTACTCAAATCAAACAATTTTAATCGAATCAAGATTTTTTAACAACTAACATCTTAATTTAGCTAAATGATCTAAATGATTTTAAACAACCATATTCAATGATATAACATCGATTTTACATCTATAAAAAGAGCTACAAACGAGGTGACTAACATTTTATGTTAACGTATATGGGCTCAAATACCTTTCGACTCCAAACTTAATCTCCGACCCATAAATCTTTTTAAGTAGTATGTAAATCGTATTTTTACTTAGCTGATAAAAGGAAACAACATTTTTTAACAAAAAATAATTCTCCTTCAAATGATTCGAATAAAAATTATTTTTATGCAATTTAACATTATTGCGATGTTATTTTTTTTATTAACGTAAAAAAACCTTTTCAAACGATAGGGGAATCCTTGGCAGATATTGGTTTATTATCTTCTGAGTCTCCTCTAAAGCCTGTCCATACTACGGTTTCAGTACGTTTTAAATAAAATAAAATATTAACACACAAATACTATAAAAGCACAAAATGTATCTATTTGCAAATGTTGTTATGTTAATTTAAGAAATAATTTAAAGTTAATCATCATACCTACCTATTATGAAAACATTCTAATACATATTTTCTAGTCTTCGTGTGTATCCACAGATAACATTCAGTATTCCGAATATACTTAAAATAATATTAAATAACATCAATTTAATCATGCTTTTAATTTAATATTTCATCACATTTAGAATTTCATAAATATTAATAAATTATTATGTTCTAATTTATTACTTAATAAAGAAAAATATTTTTAAATCTACATATCGCACTAAACCTTCAAATTATAGAATCATATACAATTTTCCTGTTAGAATGTTCATTGTTCATGTCTTGGTATAAAAATTAGAATCCATAAAATTTGTAGTTGTACGCGTGTGAAAATGAATTAGGTCTTTTTTTGCGACCACCCCGGTTTTGAGGAAGTGCGGACGTGCACTCTGTAATTGAGACAATAGGTAGCGTGCGTCAGGACGCGTTGCTCGAAAAAACACCTTTGTCATTTTAGCGCCAATTTATGTGTCAATAATTTGACAGGTCTTTTTTTATTTGCCCCTTCATCACACAAAGGTCTTGAGGTTTTACCGCCACGGTGTTTTTTTATTTAATATTTTATTTGTAAATATTAAAATCTTCTTTTAAAATATCATAGAAAATAGTAACAAAAATATGTTTACTAAGTGAAAAACTAGAACGAGAGACTAGAATCCATACCACATAAAAATGCCTTAAGACTTCTAAGTAATTTTAAATTTTATATTTAACTCTTGAGCAAATATAAATAAATTATGGTTTTCAGGAAGTTCGGACACGCGTCCTATAATTATTGAGGTAGTTATGTCGGCAAAAGACTTTTACCATTTTAGCGCCAAATTGCACGTCAATGATCAATTTTTTGTTTTCTTTTTTTATGCGCATAAGAACTTTGCCGCTGCAGTTTTTTATTTTATTTGTAGTATATTTACCCATAAATTGTTAATGATTTAGTTACTTTTGAGTAATATCGGCAATGATATAATAAATGGTGTAAGCATTTATTATGGTTTGTAATATATTGACGAAATTACCATGACAAGCCGCTCATTTCTGAGGAAGTGTCTATAATTTTGACAATAAAGTTCGTGCGTCGGAAATACTGCAGTGATGACTAAAAGCGTCTTCCTTGATCCTTTCAGAGCTGGCAAAGATAATTGTAGAATATTATTATTATTATTTGCTCTTTCTCTCTCTAACTCATTCTTTAATGTACGTTATGTTATGTATACCTATAAATAAAGTAATGTAGATGTAAGATTTGATTTAATTAACAGAGTTAATGCGGTCGTGTTTAACCCGGTTTCGGTCAGAAAAAAATCATATCTCGAAAACGAAATAAGATATCGAAAAAATAAAAAAAATACCTAGAGATATGACTTTGGGCTACATTTAAAAAAATATTGGAGGTGTGTATCACTGATGGGTTATTCAAAAGTTGTAATAGCCTGCGACAAATGAATGACAATTGATAATTAAAAAATCTAAAAAAAAATACAGAGATTGTAGCTCAAAAGCTCTAACAATCCTAAGATAACATCGAAAGGAAGGTTTTTGTATAAGGAGTATAATTAAGAATAAATTGATGCGCTGTGCCAAATTTTATTATATAATTGAATTTCTCAAAGAGATAATAAACTTATAGATAGTGTAAAAAATAAAAGGGGCTCAAATAATAATCTTTTAAAATGCAAAAATGTTAGGCTGGTTATATTTGCCCTGTAACTATAGATACCAAGTACTGGATAAAATATATAAATCCCTTTTAGTTATTTTTATAAACAACTGCATGAAGTTCAAAACTTATAACAAACATGATGGCTACAATACAACAAACCATTGTTTTAAAAAATAATACAGGCGAGATTTGTATGAGGGAAGTAATAATGCTTTAAACGTTCAATATAATATGTAAAAATAAATTATTTTAAGCAATAGAAAAATAATTCGAATCTATCTAATATATAAACTGAACAGGAACATCACGCGTGTGCAATTTTATTTAGTCACCAGCTACTAAATATGATATAGGTATGCCATTTTGGATAGAAGAGTGTAGGAAGTAGGTACATATTTGTACGTAGGTATTCGTATAGTTTTAAAAGTGGACATAAACACACACATAATTTAAAGTTTTGATTTTACTCTTACCACCTCCTAACCTATACATATAATAAAATTGTAACTAAGTCGAATCTGTACATTAAATGTTTTTTTAAAAATCTTATTGAAATAGACATTATTATCGATATAGAGGTCGAATCTATAGTTTTTAGAAATTTTGTCTGTCTGTCTGTCTGTCTGTCTGTTACCGCATCACGGAAAAACCACTGGAGGGATTTTGATGAAATTTAGTATGATGATAACTGGTTATTCGGGTCAACATATAGGGTACTTTTTAGAAAATATCTAATCTCTGAGAAATCTATACTAAACATTAAAAGTAAGTAGGGACGAACCCAAGCGGAGCGAGGGTGAGTCGCTTGTGATCTATAAAATGAATAAAAAATAAAAATTAAACTAAACATTCTAACTAGAAAGCTAGGTAAATAGGTATCATTTGGAGCGTATCTGAGTGGACGGTTAGCGATCTGCGGTCAATGCTGTCACTTCTTTAGCTTAAAGGAGTTCGTTATCTATTGGCTAATTCGATAAAAAGTGTTACCAATAGATTTTTATATACAAGTTATTTACGACGGTTTCACTTGCTCTATGCATATTTTTTATTACTGTCAGTACAGATGATAAATTATTTTATATTAGAATTAGCTTTTCAAATTGACCAATTAAAATCTAAAAATATACGATATTTAATAGGTTTATTGGATTTATTTGTTTTTTATTTTATTAACACGGTTTCGTACACTTGTGCATGATTATATAATTCTTAATTCACTTTATTACTAATATCAAATTAGTTTTGCATTCGTAATGCAAGTTATGTTCCTTTGATTAACAATAATTACTCTGTTAATACATTAAAAGTAGATATAATATGTGCATTCTATGTAGGAAGTAATCAGCAGTAGGTACGATGATTGGAATTTGTCTTTGTGATTTTTTATTCAAAGTATTCACTTATAAAAATATGGACTGTATATTATATATATATATGTATGTATATATATACATATATATAATATACAGTTAATGTTATATATATATATATATATATATATATATATATATATATATATATATATATATATATCGTATCTACAATCTCGTAAAGATAAATACATGTTCTCACGATTCATTATGTTCGAAGAATAATTTCGTAACGTCACAATCGATATTTCCAAAACCACATTACATTAAAATACTTTATTTTATGAAATACATAGAAGTCAACTGTCAAGGACACATAGAAGTCAACTGTCTACGTCTTAGGTAATAATTTTAGTTTTACGAATATGAACATACGTAAAACCAAACTATATCTATATAATATACAAGCGACCCACCTTCGCTTCGTTCGGGTTCGTTCCTAAATACATACGTTTTAACGGTTAATATGGAATAGATGGGCTATATGTTATATGATATATAACCCTATAGCCTTTCTCAATAAACGGGCTATCTAACGCAAAAAGATTTTTCAAATTCGGATTAGTAGTTCCTGAGATTAGTGCGTTCAAACAAACAAACAAACAAACAAACAAACAAACAAACAAACGGACAGACAAACAAACAAACAAACAAACAAACAAACAAACAAACAAACAAACAAACAAACTGTGCCTCTTTTAATATTAAGTATAGATAAAAGCAAACTACCACTCAATGATAAATCACAAAATCCCAGAAAGTATATACGGGTAGCTATAAACAGTACAAACTTAAAATTTGGCATTAGGTATATGAAAACTCGTTAGTTTTAAACCATATTGGTAGAGACGCGGGCAAATGCTAGTTTAATTTTATATATACAGGAATAAGGAATATAATAGTAGAGGAGCCCAAGAGGGGATTTTTGGAGTTACTAAAGCGCGACAGATTAACATAACCTTGCACTCTGTTGAGTACCTCCACCATAATATAAGTCCTCTATATAATGGCGTGCGTATAGGGCAGCCGATCAAGGCAAAACTCGTACACCAACTTTATGGTCGATTTTTGCCTCTTCGGCTTGTGCAAATCGGCAGATTATTGAATTGCACGCTTTTCAGGATGTAATTAGCCTACCATACCTTAATCTGACTATTTCAAGTATTTCTACCTTATCAAAATATTTTTTAAATATGTTAATCTGCCGCGTTTGAGTAACTCCAAATATCCCCTCTTGGGCTCCCCTACTATAATCTCATTTCCTGTCACCTCAACGCTTTCTCAAGTCGGTCAC